TTAGATGCCGTGCCATCCTGACTAACTGAGAAAGTGAGGGTGAAAATCTGAGAGACGCGAGAAGGCGCACGAGTGTCACATACCCAAATGGTACAATTCCTAGAAAAGTATTTGAAGAATCACTCCATGGATATCTCAGCTTCATGAATGTGATTTTGAATTCAGCTACAAAAGGTTTCGTACATTTCCGAGAAAGGGGTTTTGAGATAAAAGACAAAGAATATGCCTCCCGGGTATCAGATATCTGGCGCATGCGCTCGCGGGTTAAAACTGAAACACTGTCATGTACATGATTGCCTGAAGAATTACTATGTGTTTGATTGCCAGAGTTTAGTGCATTCTGAAACTTTGTTGACTTCTAATAAGTGGTTGAGATTATATGAATACAGTACTAAAAGTACCATAATTTATAATTCCGTGTTGGAAGACTGCTTAACCATGCATTGAATACAGTATGTATAGCCTCTATCAAACATACCAACTTAGTAATCACCTTCAAAGTGTTTACATTTTTCACAAGATTCAACTAAAAACACTATTTTAATACTTTTTTTGGAATGATATCAGAGGAGTGGGCCACATAGGTATTCAATAGTAAAGCTTTTTTTTTTTTTTTTTTTTTTTTCATTTTTCTGTTCTCTGCCCCATTTCAAAAGGATGTCAGTAAAAATACTGCTTATCCACAAGTTCCTGTTATTATATAAAGTTAAATTCTTGACTCCTCTTAATCTTTTGAGGGGTGGTATGTAAACTAATTTAAATTGTGGCAAAATTTTGCATGAATTGTAACTTATGGATCCTAAAAACACAAAATTGAGACTTGAAAAAAAAAATCTAGAGCGAAATCCTGAATTTTGAGAGCCAGTATATATTTTATAGTAGTGCTTCTCTAAGACTTTTTTTTCCATGTAGTTAATTGTTAATTTTTGTTTTTTAAATTAATTTTGCATACTTTTGATGTGCATCTGTAGAGATGGGTGCTTGAATATAGTTATGTAAATATGAAGACAAGAACTTATGTAAAATATGGGTAAAAAGCTTTTGAAATAGAATTAAATTCAATATTATTATTTTATGGAAAAATTTAGCAAATATTAGTACTGCATAAATTAATTATTATTATTAAAACTAGCACTGCAACCATATCATGCTGTAACTGATCTAGTACAGTCAAAAGTAGTCAATCCGGAATGATCTATAATCCGGACCTCAAAACTAAAATCTTTCTGCGCATGCGCAGCGTTGACGCATGCGCATAGGCGTTTTACGCGTGCGCGCAAGACATTTACGACTGCACATATGCGTTTGCGCAAGCGCAGAATACATTTTCGCGTGCGCGTTTAATGTATAACGGACGGTATAAGCTCTAATTATCTATTTCAGTTAATGTTGATGATTGCGTTGTTCCTTAATCTTCGAATTGGATCCGGCTTATTATTTTTTGCAGACTGTAAGAGCAATTTTATAAAAGTAAGCTTGAACTTTCGATTATGTCAAAGAGAATTTCCGATGCTGGAGCTCCCAAAGGATCTAGAAAACGAAAGTATGTTTCGATGTCCATCAAACAAAAAATGGATAAAGCCATATCCTTTGTTTATCTAACCATTCCGAAATCTGTTTATCAATTTCACCCTGCTCTGCGCGGGGGGGGGGACGTCGCGGCGCGTAATGAACTGGAAGTTGATCTGTTAGCACTATCGTTATCTTCAGGGCAGATGTTTTTATTTTATTCGGTTTATAATTCCTTACCAAATGTAGTATTTAATCTTGATGTACTACGTCTTTGATATGATTTAAATCAAATTCCTCGTCATTATAAATATCACGAATACAAATCAAATAGTTTTCTGGTTGCAATTTTCTAATTTCGGCTATGCGTAAGGTATGCTTTACGCACGCGCGCGTGAAAGAAATGTTTAATAAAGTAAACAAATAAATATTAAGCTTCTTTTCTTTTTGTAAATTTTGATACCCTTTAGATCATAATTGCTCATTTTTTTTATAAATTACGGTTTCATATTTTTAATTTTATAATTTCTGCATGCCATCTTACCAGATTTAAACCGATGATCTATAATCCGGAAAAATCGATAATCCGGAATCGCCGAAGTCCCAACGTGTCCGGATTAAAGACTTTTGACTGTATAATGTTACAAGGAGATGTAACTCAGCTATTTAAAAAAAGAAAAATCAAAAATCAAACACTACAGCTGAAAAAGTGTGTTGCATTTTTAAGTTATTATATTTTATGCTTTAGATCAGTGTTACTCAACCACCGGTTTGCTAGAACTATTTGCCGGTCCGCGAAATACCCCGTTATCTGTCCAAAACCCAAAGTGTCATCAGAAAACAACCAATATTACAACAGCACCTAAATTACCATAACAATAGTGTACTAGTTTAGAAAATAATGTGATCGATGATGAAAAATATAACAAATTGGCAACTATGTACCTAATTGCCTTTCATAATTTGCCGCGCCGTACACTTAGTACACCAGTTAGTGTGCCCCTGTCTGCCTTGAGTATCACTCATTAATTAAATGCTGAAATCTATCGTAGTGTTTAAGGCATCTTAGATTAGGTTTCGCTTTTTATAATTATATTAATTAAAAATATATATATATATCATTCATGTTGGAATTTTCTTGTAGTTAAATTTTGCTCGAAATATTTTACTGGTCGTTGGAGTAAGTCCAGTTGAGAAACACTGCTCTAGGTAATACTAAAAAAAAAAGCATACTTCATGGTATGATACCAAGACACACGCTTTCTATTATTGAAGCCCGTAATGTCACCTTTTTTTATTTTTTGTAAATATAAGTTGTAATATATCATTTCGTTCAGGAAGAAATGGCGTTATATGATTTTATTATTTGATGTGCCTCAAAGCTCTTATTTCGATTTTCAGCCCTTTTGTTCTCCTAGGGGTCCCTTTTCAACTTTTGGATAAATTTTAGTTTGTATCTAAAACTGGCCTTAGAAGTATTTTCCCATCTTTCACCAACTGTGAAAATTTATTTCGAAAACCACCCGTTTGTATCCTAACCCAGGTGGAAAATTTCTCTTGTGTTCCGTAGTCTCTGATCTGAGATTAATAAAGACAATAAAGAATAAAAGCATGCTTTCAAATCAGCAGTTTTCACCATTCTACTAAGAGAAGGACCTAAAGTGCATTTCTATTTCCTGTATTTTTAAGTGAGCTTAACTTTGCGTGTTCACCACACAAAGATCACCACACAAAGGGAAGAAGGCATAATCCTCGAATAACAAATTAGTTGTCAATCACCTCTTTTCATTTTCGCTGCATTCTACGATTTTTGAACAAACCCTCTTGAAAAGCAAATCTTCCACCAGTCTCAACTTGCAGCCTATGCAGCTGTCACCTGGAAAATCACTTTATTGTGATGTTCGGGATTCAAGATTTCGACCTTATGTTCCCTCCGAGTTTCGCCATGCCATTTTTAGTCAGTTACATCACCTGTCACATCCTGGCATCAAGGCTTCGAGGAAACTGATACAGCAACGTTTCGTATGGCCTAGCATGTAAAAGGACATAGCTAACTGGACACGTTCATGCTTGAGTGCCAAAGATCTAAAATTGTCAGACACACCACCAGCCAACTTAAAAAAAAAAAATTTAATTTGCCCTCATCTCGCTTCAATCACGTTAATGGATATTCCTATATTCTTACTTGCATTGATCAATTTACTCTCTGGCCCGAAGCCGTTCCTTTGGTAGATATTTCAGCTGATACGGTGGCAAAGGCATTTTACACTGTTTGGATTTCTCGATTTGGAGTTCCGGAGGAGATTTCTACTGTCCAGAGACGTCAGTTTGAGTCTCAACTCTTCACGTCACTAACTAAATATTTGGGCAAAGTGAGAACCAGCCCCTACCGTCCAAGTTCCAATGGAATTGTCGAGAGATTTCATCGCTCCTTAAAACAATCAATTCGATGCCACACTGCATTACAGTGGACTGATGTGTTACCTATTGTACTTCTAGGTCTTCGATCAGCGTTAAAAGAGGATCTAAGTGTCTCTTCTGTGGAACTGGTATATGGTACTAATCTCCGTTTGCCTGGGGATTTCGTACATTCAGTCAATCCATCTACCTGCAACATAGATCCTGTTATATTCTTGCATCAGCTTAGAAACTGTATGTCAAAAATTGCGACCAGTTCCTGCCAGCGCTCATTGCAAACAAATTGTATTCGTGCATAAAGAACTTAGAAACTCAACTCGTGGTTTTCCCAGATGTTATGCTTTAAAGCCTTCTCTCGCACCACAGTATTCAGGGCCCCATCAAGTCCTGGCTCGAAACAAAAAAACATTAAAAATTTTGGTCAATGAAAAAGAAGTCATCATTAGTATCGACGGTCTTAAAACGGCATTTATCGGGACAACAAAGCCACTGGAGCGAATGCGTCTTCACCATCGCAAATTCCATATCAAGATCCACATCTATCTCCAACGGACTTCGGTGCAAGCTGTTCTAAGCCTTCGACAGAAACCACGACTTCCAACTCATCAGATGCAACGATAAGAACACGCACGGGTTGTCGAGTTCGCATCAACCCAAAGTATTTGTAAGGTATCTTTAGCACTGGAGGGGGAGTACTGTGGTGACTTGCCTACTACAACTCAACGCTGCCAGTCTGGTAACCCATAGCAACAAAAAGACAAAAATAATATTTATTCTATTGTTATGATTATTAATGATCTGTTTCAATTATTGTACTACCTTAATAAAAATTGTATTACTACAATAGTAAACATATAGCAGTAAATGTATAGTAGCATTTTTTAGCTAATGATTAATAAATGAATAATTTTGAATGGGCTGAAAATTTAAATACGTTCTAAACAGCAGAAACAAAATAAATGCTGAACAATAGATGTGTTAATTACAGATATTTTTGATACTATATAGCTACAAAATATTCCAATAATTTTGAATTGCGTTTATCGTATAGCTTGTGTATTTTAATTTTTTAGGTTTTATGTGTAAGAAACATTTCTTAATTTGAATGGATGGTGTGCTACGTCCTCGTTCTTCTTGTCTCTATGTTAGAGCATTCAAGTTGTGTGAGCGTAAAAAGGTTGCACGTCAGGAAAGAGTAGCTGTTGATGGTGATCTAGTAAGGTATTATTAAACGTATTTTTTATATATTTTAGTAAGTTTTTTGTTAAACCTGTGATATAAAATTGTACAACATTCTGTATCTGCATAATGATATGCAGTCCTGTTCTAGAAATAATTTCTGTTAGGCAGATTGATAAGGAGTTTAGAACATTATCTTAGTTTGAAAACATGAGAATTATAAATTTTTAATAACTCTAACAAATACTGAATATTTTTTAAGGAGTAATGTTAGTAAATTTCTTTATTCATTTGTCTTATAACTTTGAATAATTCCCTGCCTCCTCTTAAAAAATCTGAAAATTCTGTTTTTTGAAAGAGTTGGTGTTGATTTATGAGGAATGTTTTCTTGAGGGGGGAGGGGCTAGATGTAAATAGTCATATTTTAAAAAAATCAGAACATATAAATAGGTGTTTTGCAATTGCTTAGGACATGACTGTCTATTCATTTTCGTTACTAACCATCCATGTATACTACCTGATTTAATAAAATATTGCCTAGCATTGTCCAATCTGTTATTCACATTTTCTTAAGGCACTTATTTCATTCAATAGCACATTAGGCAGATAGCTGCATGTAAAATGTGAAGGAGTTTCAGGACATTCTCATATAATACTTGACTGAGTCTAAAAAGCAGCTTCTAGCATCAGTGGCTGTAGATGGTAGCCTAGTTATGAAAGCAGACTTCTTCGAAAATTTGCAGCTAGTTTCATTGCTGTTGAGACACCTATGCATTTGCATTGATTTTTTACTATTTCTTTACCTGAACCAAGGACTTATTCCTTTTTAAATTAACTGTTTCTGAAAATGTTATTTCAAGTTTTTTCCTACTGAAATCATGATTTAAAATACAGCTCAGCAAGAGAAATACAAAGCATTGACTCTTGAAATGAAATAAAGTTCATTGGCAGATATAAATCAATAACTAGTTGAATGTGGAGTAAAATAATAAAATTTTGTATATCTTCCCCAAAATCTACTTCTTTCTGAAGTTCTGATATAGTTTTCTACCTAAGTTTTCTAACAAAAGAAGCATATGGGTTCATTAACTTATTAGGATTTAGAGCAAGTTCTATTGTTATAGATTAAGGACGGAATAAATAAGTATATTACTTTCTTATAAATAAGGATATTACTTTGGAAAGTAAAACAAATTTTATCATGCTTTATTAGCTACTTATATTCGCTTTGGATGAAATATGGAAGCATGGATTACGTGTTTCAAGCTTTGGCAGAATATTGTGTATAAAACTGTGTAGTGAAAATGCTTAGTAGGCCTCAGCATTGGCACTGAATTCAGTAAATAGCTGTCTACATAAATTCTGATTATTCAGCAAAGGGTATATATAATTCAGATGAGTAGGGCCTAATCCCCCTTTAAATAAATTTCTCCTGAATAAGATTCTGATATTTAGAAGTCAGAATTGTAGCAAAGAAAGAATAACTGTTAATCATAGCTTAAATTCGATAGAAGTGAAAACTTAAATTGCTACTTATTTTGAAGGTCTGAAATTCACAATGCTTTAAATGCATAAGAACATCGTGCGTTAAATTGAGTAAAGCTTGAATGACACTGTTTTTATAACATATCGGATGCTGAGGTCTAGATGATGTGAAAAATCTGCTGGTTAAAGGAACTGGATGAACTTTTTCTCTCTAATGCAGGAAATACTTTTACTGTTAGTAAAGCATAAAATCTTAGTAAACTACCAAAACTATTTACTTGCCATGTTAAGTATGTGCTACCTAATATCACTGCTGAGCTATAGTCAAAGGATAAAGGCACAATTCAAAATCTGAAATCATGTTACTGTTAGAAATTCTTGGAATAGGTTTTATTTTTAATAGATTATAATGAAATTCGGTTATTGACAATCATGAGATGCTGTGAAAGTTTCAGAAACCAGTTATTTTTAACATGCCAAATTCATAATCTTTGCATGGATTATATGAATATAGGAAGCAAAACATTTAGTGAGAAGGCTAAATTTCTTAATTTTTGTAAAAAATATACTCTGATAACATAACTTTCCTAAATAATGTTCCAGTTGACAGTTAAATGATAAATTTCTAAAATTGTTTGTGAATATATTCACAAACAATAAAAGGGAAAGAAAGGGATCTTGGAGAATACGGTCTGTGCTTCTAAAGCTTGTTTAATGCAGATTTATGTATTTGCATACATTTATTCTCATACTGTCTTCATCAGACAAGAATTAAGTGCCCACTGCAAACTGAAAAATTGGCTAAAATGTCTAAATCTAATAGAGATTAAAACAAGTGACTACTAATTAGTTCTTATAGTGACCTTTTTATATATAAAACAGCTATTCACAAATGTTTTTTACATAAAAAATTATTAATTTCCTTTTTTTTTTTTTTTTTTTCATTTCAATTACTTTTTAAAGTTTTTGTTTTCCATTAATTCCATTTTCATGTTTTAAAGTTGACTTTGTCAAATACTTTCATTAAATACTTTCATTTCATTATTTAAACAGGTAATAAGTGAAACCTCTTTGTACTTTAAAAATTGTGTCAAAAAATAGCTTTAGAGAATGCAAGTAGTCATATGTTGCATATTTTTTCTACCATATTATACAGAGGATGTTTACACATTATTAGAATGATTTCAATAAAGAAAAAAAAAAAAAAAAAAAAAAAAAAAAAACCACACAAATGCTTTTGAAGAAAAATTTCTGTCACTAGTTATTATTTGAAGTGAGAAATATCCTTTGCTACTTTTAAATTTATTTTTATTTCAAAATGTTACATGTAAGCAAGTTGTGTATGGAAGAATATGTTTTTATGCTTTCTGAAGAGAAATGTTCCATGATCCAAAAATATTGTGAAATGCATGGTATTAAAACGTCTAAGTGAAAACTAAGCAACATTATTAACTGGAAAGGGAAAAACCTTCAAACATTATTTCTACATGGAAAAGAGACTCCAAACAAATACTTAAAAAAGGTGCATGCTATTTCTAATATTTCTAAAGTTAAATCACCGGTAACAAGAAACAATCTGCTGATTGGAGAAATCAATTGTAAAGTCTTTAAATACATATGTAGCAATAGTAAATAAAATATTGAACCAGGATTTACAACTTAAAAAAGCTAAAAAAATTATGTCCAACTATTCCATACACAAAGTGCATGTTTGCAAGCTCCCGGTTCGACATATTACAAATCCTCACTTTCTACTAGCACTTCTCCTGTACAGCAACCCGTGGTGGTGTACAGTTATGTTTCTGCGATGGGTTCCTATGCAATTCTTAATCCTTATGATGTGCCTTACCTCCCCTAGAAGTTTGTCGCAACATTTATGGGACACCCTGTATATGTATGAATGGACACATCCACATACAAATGGAAATAATTAAGTAAATATCATTTCTGTGTTTCATAAAATTATAATAATTGATTAGTATGATTTAATGGAAGTGTATGCTGTTTGGTTCTTTGCAGTTATAGGTTTAAATATTTTGCATAATTGAAATGTATTTAAAATAATATTTGATAATAAGAATTATATGTATTTGTATTTAAAATTCTATTTGTTTTACAGCTATGTTCCTGATGAATTTGGACATGTGGGTATGTACATTGGCGCTGAGCCATTGAAACCAGATAGTAATTATTTTGAAATTGAAATCATAGACAGTGGTGATACAGGTAGTATATACATTGGACTTGTTTCATCAAAACATCCTTTAGATCAGTACCCTGGCTGGGTACCTGATTCCATAGGCTTTCATACTGGGGATGGAATGTAAGTTATGTTTTTTTTCACTCAACTTCATGTTCTTATTGATATTTTTAAATATAAGAAAGAATTCCATTTATTTAACGACTTGATTTTGTATGCCAGTTCACTTGCCAAATGCATTTTTGAAAATCATTGACTTAAGTTGACCCCTTCATGACAGCATGTTGCTGAACTAAAAACCCTCCGCAGACAGGTGTGTTGTATGTGCATCAGTCCCAGTGTCATTAGCAGCCGGGTGATCCACTGGTGCATCGGCGCTTGCATTTATCTTCCAGATGGGCATGAAATAGATGCACTTTCGAACATATATGTTTTTTTAGAATTTTTTTTAAATCACTAGATGACACTCTATGTCCACTACAGTTAGCTTATTTGAACATATACATTGTTGACCTACCTTATGTGTGTGAAGTACTTTCTGATTCTGGTGATTCGTTTAGATGTACAAGCAGATTATGTAAAGTAAACAAAATCCAGCTGATGCACAGTTGGCTTCACAATATATTAACATTGAAGTTATCAATGCTTTTTTTTTTTTTTTTTTTTTTTTGGGAAGACTGGGAGTGGAGCTGTAGTTTTAGCAACTCGGGTTCCTATTCAGTTTGCATCTTCTTTAGATAGCAGGTGTAAGTTTCCCCCCCCCAAACCGGGTAAGAGAGTTAAACTAATATTGCAATGTCTTGGAGGAAGAAGTTTTTAATGGAAGAAGAGTATTCTCAAATTAGCCCATGAGTGACTATTTTGACACCAAAAACTGTAGATTTAAGTGAGAATAGAGATTTTTGGTACCAAATTTTCTCTTGAGACTTCCTGCAGAATAGTAGCTATTAAATCATCAGTAACAAGATAACACAAACTCAATTTGTTTAGTTATTGATGCCTTATGAATTTTTGAGAATTGCAGAAGTAAATTGAATTCAAAGTTATGAGAATAAAATTGATTTTTTTTTAAATAATGATCTAATGAATATAATATTTAAAGAAACTATTAATATAATTTCTGTGAACAAAAAATGAGTGAAAATCCATTTTCATCCAAAATCAACTTATTCCTGTAGATGTCCCTAAAATGAGGGGATTCCTAGGTTTAATTATTCTACTGGGATGGAATTAAAAAGTTCAACCTGAAAATGTGTTTCATAACTAATGAAATGATAATGACTAGATTATCACACTCTGTCTCCTTTCTGAACCATTTATGCTATAATATTTAATCATATATTTTATTATTTTTTATGTATGTTTAGATAGAAATTGAAGTAAGTTTTTTAAATCTCATCAAGATCTGGATTCTAAATTTTACTTTGTCACTGATGCCAGCCTGCAAATCATTATTTATTATTTTTTGCTTTCATTACTGCAAGACACACTGCAGTTTGAGAAGTGACTCACACAGCGATGTCTTAACAATTTTTTTAAAAATATTTGTAATTGAATGCCAAAGTGCAATGTAGCACTTTGTGTTGACATTTCACTTTCCAGTGATTACAGACATCAGCTAACTTCGCTGCGAAGTGTTTAGTGTGTTGATAAGAATGTTTAATGTTTTCCATATGCAAAGAATAGATTTTGAAAATGATAGTCATGGGCCAAAAGATCATATTTAGTGCTGTTTAAATTAAGAATAATTGGTATGCTATTCAGATAAGCCTAAGATTAGTGTCAGAGAGTTGGTGCAGCTGCAAGGAGAGGCAAAAATATTAGAATATAGAGAAGTACCGAGTAACAAAATTAAGTGATGAGAAAATTTTAAGAATCTATCGAAGGCTGAGTAAATCTTGAGTATACGTATGAATTTATTTATTCAGGACTGAGATAAGGCTTAAGCATAGGTGGGAAATAGACATAATTATAATAAATAACTAATATAGTAATTTAAGCTTAACTTCATTAGTATATGACAGAAACAAGACAAAATTTAGCAGAACAACATACCTTTAGTCACCAATCTCAGTACATTGTCAATTTGTCATAGTGTATAGCAGATGCGAGCTAAGCTTTATGATGATAGCTGCAGATTCGAAGGTGTTCAGGTATCACAAACAAATAGCAAAATGTTTCAGTTAATGAAATTTTTAAAGAAATATGGGAAAATGGTAATAAACGAAGATGATATAACAGAAGTTTTGGCTAATCTTTGAAATATGGTAACAGGTAGTTTGGCGACATTTTGGAAAGGCGATAAAGGTTACTAGCTAGGACTTTAGCAGGACATGGATAAGTCAAGGTGCGCAATGCATTTTTGTGCACTTCTGGATTTTTTTTAAGTGAAATCGGTCGACGTGTAATGGCTGAACCGTGTAGGAATTCTTAAAAATACGGCAAGCAGTGGGTATTCTGCCCTTTCCTCAATTCACACTAATCTTTGTATGATGAAGCACTTTTGTTCCATAAAAGTTCTAGCATAAGCATAGTTCGACTAACAGATTGTTGGAAAAAAAAAAAATACCTTTACGTCGTGCGAACAAAATGGCGTCCAAACAAAAACTAGCAGGTTGCTGTAGCAGGGTTGGTCGCCAAATTTTTGCCAAAAAATCGCCAAGTTACCATAATCCAAAGATTAACCAAAGCGCGATAACAGTGTCCCTATCTTCACTCATCTAACAGATGGCGAAATCTGTAATATGGTTCTAAATCCAGAAAATATTGCTACCGATAATGAAGAAAGTGATGGAGAAGTTTGTTGAAAATGAAAAAATTTCAGCTGTCAGTTTAGTGGGAATTCTCAATGCGACATTGACAAGACTTCAGCAGTGTAAAACTTTGTAACTAAATAAGAAATTATTTCTATCTGTAGAATTAAAGAGAAAGGTATTAGCACAAAAAAGAAAGAAGATTAAAAAATTTACATTGTAGGAATTTTTTTTTTTTTTTTTTTTTTTTTTTTTTTGTTCTCCTTAAGGTATAAATGTTTCATTTTTTTTTTTTTTGTAAATCATATTTCATATTTTTACTTTAATAATTTCTTCATGTGATCATACTAGATTTAAACTGATGATCTAATTTCCAGAAAATTCCTGTCCTGACAAGTCCAATCTCAGACTTTGTTTTCTAATTTTGCTGTAAAATTATGAAAAAACATCTGAAGTATTACATTTTAAAAATAAAGTGCATAATTATCTTATTGTAAGGAAGTAGTGTAATAATTTCTTTGTATTTATATGAAAATAATGCATGCAGTCATCTTATTAGAATGAAATTATGCTCCAGCACTCCAGTTGGAGATTTTAAATTTTATACTTAAATATATTTTCTGGTAATTTGTTATGTTCCTTTCTCAAAATAGATTTGTTTATCTATCTTAATTAGATAACTTCCACCCCTCTAATTAATTGTCCTTTAAGGCAGTAGTCTCAAACTACACGTGAACCAAATGCTCAGTGTGACACAGTTGATGGGCCAGAACATTTTTTAACAAAACTGAGATAAATACATACAAATATAAATATTAAAAATAAACCAAATTTTAAATTCTCTTACTAAATATTTATCCAAACTTGCATAAGCAATAATAACAGTAATAATGCAAATGAAAAAAAAATTCAGATTTATTTTCTAGCTGAAGTTTATAGGCTGGTGCTTCCAGAAAGTTTCTTTTGATTATACATTGTAATTCAAATTGTGTTAGCATCTAAATATTAAATTTTAGACTGTTATTTATTTCCTCTAATCCCAGTATGTTGAGGCCAACCAGTGGCCGAGCAGTAAAGTCGCCGAACACTGGTAGTTCGGTCCGAGGTTTGAATCCTGCAAACGGGCTGGCTGCATGGGCATTTTCTTGGTTTTCCTCATGTAACATGTACATGAGCCAGTTTTCCTTAGAAAGTCCTCCACGAAGGCATCCCTCCCTTTTGGCAGATAGCCCTCGAGGCTTTGTCATGTTCACACACACACACACACACACACAGTATGTTGAATTAACCACTAAGTAACTCACTTTAATCTAAATTGGAAATACCAGAATACTGAAGCACTACCAGCTATCAGCTTGTAAACTAGATTTGATAACTGTACCAGTGTGGGAAATTCTCCCAAATTACCCCAATCACATGACCTGGTGTACTGGCATATAGTGACAAAGATAAAGCCCAGTCTATTAATTCTATCTTTTTTTTTTTTTTTTTTTTTTTCTTTCTTCTTTAATAATGGCCATACACATAAGCTCAGTTCATATCTGTATGTCTTTAAAATTATAAATAACATTTTTTCCAGTAAATGCATAATTAAAATATATTCACAGGCTGCATAAAATTGCTTTGGGACCCACAAGTTTTTGGCCACTATTTTAAGATGTACTGCTATGTTACTTTAAGAACCTCATCTCAGGATTTGTTGAAGTAACTGTGTTTTTGTACATGTTTCAAAATATCAATGTGAAAGATGTATTTTACTACTGGTAGAAATAATTTTGAGCATCTGTTGCAAACTTATGCATTTTATTATTTATTGTAAACATATTATTAATAAATATGTTTTAACCACTTGCTCTACGACTAAACTTTAAATTTAAGTTGCGGTGCCGTGTTCTACAATATAACAAGCGGTAAAGTGTCTCATTTATGCCGCTCCGCGTCTGCGAGTGCAATCCAGAGCTGTAACTCTAGAAAAAAACAATCTCGTCATTAGGCGACGTGGGCACCATGTTATTTTCATTTTTGCGCACGGTTTGACACAAAATCATCTCGACGTGCGTGGCACGTCCTTTTAGCGCAAGTGGTTCATATTTACTTTTCCGTCTTTTATTTCTCCCTATTCATTTACTTTTAGCACCTATGAGTTTCAATATTCAAATGCAATCTTTTATATGCAGACCTAAATTTAAAGTTTGTATAGGCAATGTTGAATCATTCTGTGTTTATCTTACGTTAAAGAAGGCAAAGAGAAAATGTGTGTGGTGTGGATGCACTCAGCTGATCAAGTTTATTAATTTTAACAATGTCAACAATGTTTTTACTTTAAGCATTGTGTACAGTGAAGTTTTGATTAATTTCATAAGTTGAATTATTTTATCAACTTTCCTCTTCGTAGTTACACAAAGCTTGAGTTATGTTGTGAAATAAAACAATATGATAATTGATTTGCTTTCATTTAATCTTTATTTAATATTATTCATTTACAATTTAGTTTTGTTTAATTTTATCATCCAGTCCCAGAATGTTTATAAAACTTTAAATTTGGATTCATTCTCTGCTTTTTAATTCTCTCGTTCTCTTTCCCATGCAGTTCGTGCCATAGTAAATTTTACATGTTTGCTTATTCGATTTGTTAGAGAATCGGAGGCTTACTAGTATGTATATATGTAATGATTGCACAATTTTGAAAGCAATGATGTAAGATAGAGAACACTGATATGTAGATGCGCAGAAAGTACTGATGGTGTAGATACTTGATGCTTAGAGTGTCCATCTATTTTGAAGAATAAACAATTAAGTCAAATTAAATTCTATAATTTATTTAAATTCACTTGTAGCCAATCAATTTACCAAATAGAAAAACACACAATAAAATTAGACAAATATTTAAAGTTTTAAATCACTTGGCACTCTATTCGTGCCTATTAAAGAACATTTACAATTTTAATACTATGGCAATAAAAGCGTGATTGAGCAGGGTCTGAACAGCATGAAAATTGGAAGTTTGCTTTTCTATTTTTTTATCTTACATATATATATAAATTATTAACGATTAATTTGATATGGAATGGGCAGCTGTATTTTCCTATGGCTTTAATCCATAGTTTTAAAAATCATGTTTGGGAGATGAATTTTAAAACTTTTTTTTTTTTTTCCTTTTGAAAGTTGGAATTTAAAACTGCGCTTTAAAGACAGTTCTTTATTTTTATGGTTTGTATTTCATTAAATGAATTCTGTTTTGTATTTTAATGCAGGTTATTTTACACTATATCAGTATTATTTGTTTTATTGATCATTTGATTTTCTATTTATTATTTAATAACTGATATTAAAGAAAAATAAAAAATGCATATATCTTGATTTTTTAAAAAATATCTATACAGTGTACTCTCGACTATCTAGGCTAATGTCTGGGAAGCAGTTTATGGATAACTGAGAAACCAGGATAGTCTAAATTATAAATTTTCGAGCATGTTGTATATGTTTATTTCTCGAAGAAAATTGGTAATTTTACTTTGTTTTTGGAAACTTTAAATATTTGTCTAATTTTATTGTGTGTTTTTCTATTTGGTAAATTAAGTTTTTTTTTAACGGTATCATAAACAATTTGCATACCAATTCCAGATTCTTCATTGAGCATTTTTGTTGATTTACCACCTTCAAATGTTTAAGTTTTTGTTTTTATGTTTAAACAACTCTCTTGCTCTTAGTACTTGTAGTCTATTCTTTATTAATTTTTTAGTTCTAAAATTTTAATTTTTAAAAGAATGAAAAAAATGTGCCCAAAAATAAGTACAAAACAAAAAAATCCCAGCCGCCAACCAAAATGATGCCTTTTACTGTGCATTTGAAGAATGAATTCCATGAGATAATTATTCAAACTAAACCTAAAGATGCGGTTTAGTGGTTTTAGAACATGCTCTCACTTGCGAGTGTTTTTCACACACTCTTGCGTATAGCACAGAGTATGCGTGCATAAGCTTATGCTGTATATTAAGCTGAGGAATAGCCTTACTTTGACTCCAAAACATGTATGTATATATATATTTTTTTTTCCTGTATAAGATGTATTAGGTTCTGTAAGTTAATATTTGAAAATTTTTATGACATGTCAGTTTGATGGATAAGTGTCATTTCTTTTTTAAGGTTGTACAGAGACGCACCCAAAGGTGTGATATTTGGTCCTAAGTGTGAGGCTGGAGATCGCATAGGATGTGGTATTAAATTTGAAAACATATCTTCTCAAGATAATCAGCGGCACTTTATTCTAGTCTTTTTCACAAAAAATGGCAAAGAGGTATATTATTAGTTTTTTCCCCCTCTGATCCTTATGTTATTACTTATTTTTATAATGCAGAATGTAATTAATTAAATTTTAAACTTTTAAATTAATTAAAATAAAGAACTATATTCAGTTAGTTTGTCAGTTATATTGCACTGGGGAAAAGCAATTTTATTGTCATAGATCTGTAACTTATAACTTTTGGCCTCTGAATACAAAAATAAACTCAGTTTTTGTCTATTTTTGTCAACTTTTTAAGCTACAGGATACCCTCTTTTTGTTTCAAAAGTCATACAAAATATGCATATAATGGAAAACTTACTAAATATGCTGTTCATAGAGAATAGTTTTATTTATATAAAGGCAAAATATAGTTACTGCAAGTTAAATTTTGTTCATACAAATAGTAAAGGTTTTTTTTACCAAACAGTAAATGTGCATAAAGGTAAAAATTTCCGCGTATGACTCTTTCAGGAGTATTTAATCTGTGGACATTCTCACTTGATGTGCTAACAGTAGTCAGCCGTCGTATGTACACTGCATGGGGGGGGATGGGACAGTTTTAAATCTTCTGTTTTGCAGGCAGATTGACAAAATTCAAATTGCATTTTTCATGTCTTGAAAGCACAACTTGGGATATATATTAAATTTATGTATAGCTTTGTTCTAATATAGGTATTTTGACACAAAATCGAACTTTTTCTGAAATGGCATGGCAATATTTTTCCATATTTCAATTCTACGGCTCAAATTATGCCTAAATATTAAATTTTGTAAAATTTGGTGCAAAATTTATGGAGAAATTCAAAAATTTATCTTCTCACATTTTTTTCAGTTTGCGCCAAGAATAATTCACTTGGCGAACTTCTTAATTTAACGCGACCTATTTTCCTTTCCCATTTTTCATTGTACAGGAGCAGGAAAAAAAGTCACCGTTCATACTTTAAAATAATTTCAACAAAATGTGTAAATCACATTTGGCGTTAATATCGCTTATAACAAATATGCCAAATTTCAAAATGCTCCAGTATGTAAATTCACGTATATCTAACGAAATTTTGAATAAAAACTAATTTTTTGCAGGTATGCTCAGAAATACATGTAAGATATAACAAAATAAGATAGCTGTTTCAAAAAAATTATTGGCGACCTCAAAATTAACATTCTAAATTTGGTGATCTGCCCTTAAATTCATCTCTTCTCACAGGTTCCAGATTTTTCTGTCTTACACATAACGTTTCAAAGCAGATACCACTTGTCCAATCAAATTAATTGTAAACCAAAACTCTGAACTGAAACTTTTCCACTTCCCAACCTTCTTCCTCTGAAGTGCTATGAAACTCTCCCTTTTTCACATAAGCTCTTCTACTGGCAAGGCACTTTTCATCTATGCTGCTGCTTACTTGCTTAAGATGACGTCATACTCCAAAATGGAATTTTTTGTATTCAAATATAATTAGGAAACATCTTGTCTGCAAAAGAATGGTTTGATATACGAAAAAAAAAAAGATTGCAATTTTTCACGATACGTTGTGCTAAATTGCGTCATCATGCTTTCTTTCCACTCTGCCACCTTCAAGCCACTACGGTCATCTAAGCTGTTAAAAGTTCCACAGTTTTCATCTACTCATTTTAACATCATTACATACATCTACTTTAAGATGATGGTAAAAATTTTATAGGTTATAGTTCAAAATGTTTTTCAAAAAATTTATAAAAATTACTTAAAATTTCAAATTTTTAAAATACATTATAAAAAAATTGGTGAATTTTATTTGGAATGAACCTAAATTTCGAAATGTTAAAGGAAGAATCAGAGAAGTTTAATAAAAAAAAAGAGGTATTAATAAATATGTATGAAATTCAATTAACATTTGAGGAGCTAATTTTTTAAAAACTGCTCTTGCTATTTTTACAAAACTTGGTTGTCTGGTATAATGTGAGTTGTAGAAACGAAAGGAAAAAATTGGCATGTTATTTCAGAAAAAGTCAGATTTTATGCCAAAATACATATATTAGAACAGTACTATATATAAATCTAATATATATCCTAAGGCATGCTTTCGAGCCATGAAAAACGCAAATTGAATTTCGTCAGTCGGCCCGTTAGTGCGGGAGATATAAAACTGACACTCCCAACCTCTTTTTTTTTTTTTTTTTTTTTTCCTATAGTCTTCTTTGGCCCCCCCCCCTGCAGTGGACATCTTATCTACCTTGGTACCATGACCTTCAAAGCTTGGTGGAATTGCTTACCCTGTTATCACTGACTTCACCAAGATTTTTCGAGAAGTTATCTAGATGGCTATGCGAAAAAATACATTTGATGCTTATGTTTCAACTTAGTATTTTGAAATTCTCCAAAAGTTGTTAAACAATTTCTGCATAATTCTGTGCTTGTGTATTTCCAAGAAAGTCTTTGAATGTTTTTGAATACAAGCCAAACATTCTTTTGAAATTCTGACATTGTTTTGATGAAACATTCATCTTTAAGAAGCTGCTGAATCTGTGGGCTTTCAAACACATCGTACAGGCTTAAGAAAAACTGAAATGAGATACTTGAAACAATCTCCTTTAATTGACAAAGCTTTAACAAATTGGTTCATGGGACCCAGTTTTGTATGTAGAGATTGATGTTCACCAGAATTGTATTTCTGTATTTCCAAAGAAGGTAATTCTTTGAAAACTTGTGCTGGGAGTTCAGTTGAGTGGGACACTGGATATGTAGCTGATGGGATAACTAGGATACACTATTTTACAATTGTTTTTCTTGTTATATCCTGACATTTTCACTATATAAAAATAACAGTCAGTTGAGTGATCTTTGGGCTCTAGCCAAATCATAGGTATACCAAACGGAAATTTAGAATGTGTTCCCTTCATCCACAGCCGTAAACTCTCAACACACTGCTTGCACCCTTTGTGAGAAAGGGTTCATGAGTTATCTTGATCACCAGTTTTCACTTTACAATAGGCTTGCCTGAAAGAGGTACTGCTGTTTGTCCTTTGACTGAAAATGTTAAAACTTCCACATATATAAACAAATCAAATTGGGAGTCTTTAAGTACTGGGGATGCAAACTAGCAGTGGCACGCATAAGAAAAGGTTTCAAACTCGATTGTCATATCTTAATGACTTTGCAGTTTAATTTTCCAATTGAAATTTTATTCAGAATTGTGTAAAACATTGTATAGAGATTTATTAGCTGTCAGTTCATAATCATGAAATTCACTACATCTATGACTTATATATTTGTTATAATCTCACAAGTTTTTCTTGCATTCTTAATTTAGTTTTTCATATTATGATTTTAATAAAATTTTTAAAGTAATCCATTTTGCACCTTGACATTTTACACCTTGACTTTCTTTTGACCATGATATTAGAATGAAGTGTATTTAATAGTGTTAAACAGCTAGTATTAAAAAAAAAGTTATATGTAGATTTTTTTTTAAATTTTAAAATTTCTTCTAACTCTTTACACTGTAATAATTTTCACACGTTATTTTCAGTTAACTCTGATTTTAACTGTCACTGTGGCTAAATACTGACTTTAATGTACTTTTGAATTGTACTGAAAACAGAATATTAAAAATACTGTGCATGTAAAATATCCCAGGAGTCTTCATCAGTGCCTATCCACTGTCATTATTATTTGTGGTAATTCCTGTTTAAGGTTCAATTTCATTCATTACTTCACTAACAATCCGTTTGGTTTTGGCATATCCAGTATTTGGCATTCACATGTTTTACATCTATGGTGCCTGCTAGTGCTATGACTCTTTTAATCTTTGATCTGTGTGTTGTATGATAAACTGCTTAACTATTAATTTTATTGTAGTGTTCACAAGCCACACTTTGATAGGTTTAAATTGTTGGAATGCACTAAAGATGTGAAAGATTCAAATGGCATTATCTTAATTTGGTGTTTATAAAATCCAGGATTAGCAAAAGAATTGAAGAATGGTAGGAAAGAAGGCTGTTTATTATCAGTTGGCAAAAATACTGCCAAAGCATTAAATAGTCTTGTAAAAATTTGTGCAATGTAATGGTTGGTACAGCTTTAGAGAAATCCCCTGTGATTGCTAAAAAAAAGAAAATCTGAAAGGTTTTCAGATTTTAAATTAGCGTTCAAAGGGACGTTTTTGTAGCATATTGTGTGTTACCTCTATTTATTAAATATCATGTTCTTTGCACATAAAACCATTAAATTCAGTTCAATAGCAAATGCCGCAAAATAATTTTAAAATGAGCATACCTTTAGATTTTCCAATACACAGTTCCGCGCGCTGGAGATAAAAAGGTTTTTATTCCTGTAGAGTGTTGCCATTGCTTACGTTTTAAATCTCTGAGTTTGTTATCAAAAATTTGTTAAAGTATTACAGAATATGAAATCAATAATAAGAGAAATTTCAAATTCAAATTAGGGCTTCCACATGCCCATGTTCTATGGAAGATTACGTTATTCAAATTTTGATGGCTCTAGATAGTGTTGTTTTATCTCAATGCAAGAAACATACATGCATTCATGCAGATTCTTCATTATTTAATTTCGTTAAATATAATACAGAGTGATAATATTTGGTGGCAACAGTTTGAAAAGTGAAATAATGCTTATCGTGAATTGGGTCAAAATGCCAAAACGAAATCAATAGTCCTTCTGGGAAAATTGCCCCTTTCTTTCGTCTAAAAAAATTAATGGAGCGGTTTGGTATTCAATCTGTGTTTTGAAAATGTACTATACAGTAGCAAAACATTAGATTCTAAAGCATAACTAGTTTAGGGATATGAAATTATGCCTACTTTCTAGTTTTGTTTCTTAGTTGTTTTCAGTCACTAAAAATGTTTGAAGAATTATTGCACATATGGTTTTGATTAAATTTAACCATTCATACAATGCATTATTTAATGTTTACAAAATTGCTTTTATTGCATTGTACACAAATAAAATTGTATAATTTTACATTGCCAAAGTCTAGCATATAGGCTGTTATATATATATATATATATATATATATATATATCTTGCATTTTTCATCTTTACTGATTTAGGATCTGAGCATTTAAAAAAGGAACTTGATTGTGAATGAGAATTGTCCTAAAATTAATTAATTTACTGCAAAAATATGTTTATAAAAATACTATGTAAAACTTTTTTGTAATAAAGGGACAACATTAATTTGTTGAAAATTATTTTAACTTTTAGTTTAAGTTTGTTAGTTCTGATCTCATATTTCAAATTCAAATTAAAAGTGTTTGGTAGAGAATTTGATAAATATTTATATAAACAATGTGCTTATAAATAAAAACTTGGTTCTAAAGGTTTTGCGTGACTTACTTAAATGGAACCAGTTCTTTGTACTGAGTTTTCAAATGTGAGAATCCATATTCGTTTTTTATCTCTCCCTTATATGCTGTAATTTTAACACAGTTTTTTTTTGGGGGGGAGGCCAGAGGCCATTTAAAAATGAATATCAAATTTATAATTTTTAGAAAAAAATTTACTTTTGAGGTAATTAATGCTGCATGTTATGTCACTTAACTAGAGAATCATTATTATATAATTATATTTTCAGCATGTAATAAATTAGCTTCATTGCAATATATGAGTATTTACTAACTGTAGTGTAATTTTAATATATTTTTATATAGATTGGTTCAACAGTCTATTCAATGCCTTTTGGAGGACTTTATCCTGCAGTTAGTCTTCATTCTGTTGGAGAAGAGGTTCGTTTAGGGTTAGATATTAAATGGTTGCCTGAAGAAGACATGTTAATGTGTATTGATAGTAATGAAGAGGAATGGTCCAGACTTCATGATATTAAATTAAATGGAGCGGTGAGTAATTTATGTCTGTGCAATTTTTTGTTTTTTTTTAATATTAAAATAGAAATAATGATAAAAGTTGGACATATTTGGCATTTTATTGTTAAAATTTTTGTGTACTTTTATTAAAAATTATAATCTAAGCAATTTGAATCTGCCAATTTCTGTTAAGAAAAATCCAAAAATTGTTACATTATAACATGGATTCAACATTTTTGAAAAACGGAATTTGAAGCAGTGATTAAATACTTGAATTGAGAACTGAATTTAAAATTTTATTTTTGATGAAAGGTAAAAATGGAATGTACTGAATCATTTCTATTTGTCTTGAAGATTTTAAAACAGTCATGAAAATGAGGAAGATTAATTTGTTTCAAATTCAGTTAGATAAAGGAAAAATATTAAACCTAGACAATGTTAATGTTTAGCTTTTGGCCATGCTAAGGATCAGTGCAAAGGAAAGCAAATATATTCTAGCTTTAGTGAGCAAAATCATTCTGGATGAGTTACAATAAGGAACGTAAATCATGTATAAATTGTATATGTGCAAATGAAAAGTTGAAATTAAATTTCCTCCATATTTCATGTAAATTGTGGTTTTATGAAAGACCGGAAAGCTGTTTTGAAATTCAGACTTAACTATTTTTAAAACTAAGTGATTGTTATGACCGAAAGGAGCTAATAAATTCTCTGCAAGTAATCCTTTTAATGCCATTCATTTTGATGTTGTGAAAGACAAAATCTTAATTTTGTATTAAATCAATAAAAAAAGTGAGTGCCTTCATTGAGGACATATAAAAATTCATATCACTATTATTGGAATAATTTTCTGCAATAAAGCATTGTCTGATAACAGTTTTCAGAATGAGGTTTTCTTTGGTTGTGATTTCTCTGAATAATAATTCTCACATACAAATTTTCCCTGCCTTTAGAAAGGTCCAACGTTTTAATGAATGGTTTTGTAAACCAAAACTGTATACAACAATAGAACTGTTACCATTAATTTAAATGGAAGAAAGTTTTCAGTATTCTCAGGTGTTAAAATAAATAGCATTGAAAAGATTTGAAATGCTACAATAAATTTAAATCTATGTAAATGGAAGTATTATATATTCAGTTAGTTCCATTTCCAAATTTGAGAAGGTATTGGAAGATATGGTAGTGGAATTGTGAATATGGTACATTAAGTTGAGGTTTCAGAGATATAATAACTAGAGTGCTGGAAACAAAAACTAAAAGCCATGTATTGATCAGTATCTTATCATAATTTATATCTATCTGATCACAACATATAAAGTCTGTCCGACTCGTTATCAGAAAATCAAGCATGTTCTTTTACTTCATTTGAAATGAAGACTTGAAGTATAAAAACAGACAGAATTAGTTGAATGAGCATTCCCCCCCCTCGTATAGTCCTTTGCAAAAAACAAACAACAAAACTGCCCTAAATTTGTGTAGTCTTTCAGAATTACAAAGCTATCAGTCATACGATTTTCTGAATTAAAATTATTTGCTTCACTATAGAACTCAAACCAGTTGCTCAGATAACAGTGACAGACTAAGTTTTTAATTCTGTAGGATTTCAGTCCTTTTAAACATTTCAAAGGTCTTAGAATAATATGAAAATGTAGTTGAATAAGGGAAGATTATATTATGTAATTTCCAAGAGCAAAATCATTGCGTTCATGCAGTTCAAAGCACAACATTTTTTATAAAAATATCTTGTTGTATGGAACTTAATTTCTGAATATGCCTTAATAAAATGTTTTTATCCATTCTTTAAGTTGAACTTCCAGTCAGCAGTAAGTTCTGTATAAATTTTTAAGAAGTTGTATGCAAATGCAGCGGACCACACAGAGATAAGTAAATCGTGTGTGTGGTCCCTGCAATTCACTGCTCCCAGCCTTTACGATGTGTCACATGACATGTTTTTGACATCGCAGAGATATAACTTCATGACTAGTGTCAGGAGATTTTAATGTTTTGTACCGTGTCTGTCATCAAAGCCTCTCGATTTCAGGAGAAGTTACGAACCAATAATCTGAATTTTCCTCTGATATCATTCCAGATATAATGAATCGGGATGTAAAATTAAGGGGTCATGGTTAATTCAGTCTGAAGATTTTTGCTATCAGACTAACATCAGAAGAACGCTCCTGAACTCTCGGCTAGAGAGACCTACGATGAGCTCTCGACTAGACAGAACTTCATTAGCAGACTTCTTACACTAGGAGTACTATAATTCATTTTTAATACCTATCTATGCTATGAATTATATATATATGCATGTAAAGTGCTTTTCATAATTGTAATAAATATGTTTTTAGTTAAAATGCAGTAGGAGTACGCAACCTTACCCAATCATTATAAGGAGTTAGATATGCTACCTGCCACCATTCAACACAGGGTAACTTGACAGTCACTCAAACAGTAGTGACCGTAAACCCCCTAAAGTTTTTTTAAAAGCATAGGGATTGATATCTGTAATTCTTACATTATTCAAGAATCTATTGCATTTAAATTTTATGAGCATATATAATACTGCAAGAGCTACTGTTATGTGGACAAGAGTTTGATTTTCATGTTGTTATAAGACTGAACATAAAGCAGACATTACTGTAACCCCAAAAGTAGAAAAAAGTCAATAAAATCTTACCCATGCCTGGCATTGAAGAAGCATTCGATTGCAATGAAATATGATACAGGCCAGCAACTTTTCTTTTTGCATAATTTTGCAGTTAAAAGTGATGTAGGATTGCATTTTTATTCTATTGTACACCACAGTTATTCATAAATTCTTGTTGCCTGTAGTAAAAACCTATACAGTTTTGGTGCCTTTTTCTTCAGTGTTTTGCTGGATGGTACATCTAAATGAGCAAGATTCTCTTCATCATTTCTGATTTGCCATAAGAAGTTCATTTTCTAATCATGCTCAATATTATAATTTATCGCTGATAATCGATCAGCTTTCCTCATACTGAAGATGGTGAGCAAGAGCTGGATGCCATCCCTGCACAATTCTGTTGCATTGCAACATCCTCGTTTACCACCCAGAGCTGGCTTTAAATTCAAAATTGTTCTTTTGTGCAAGTTTAAATTAATAAGCAGAGGTTAATTTGAGATTAGTGGAAGCTCATCCATAGTATTGTTCAGTAAAGAAAAGAAAACTTCACACCTTATGAGTGGGGTACTATTAATTAGTCATAAACATTTTTATAGTTTGATATAATTCCTAAAATAAGTTTCCGTTTGGAAAAAGAAATATTGAGTGAACTTTTTGAACTAATCATCATTTTTCCTATTGTATATATCAATACTATATAGTAATATTTCAGTACTTTGAGTTGCTGCGATTATTTCATATATTAGTAATTTAGAGTATTTATGCATCTTCTATATCTCTTTAGTTTTATGCTTTTGATTTAATTTTGTTTTTATTTTAAATTGATTTTTTTTTCCTTCCATTTTGTTAGATATTGGAATATGCAGGTCGTGGGAAAAGTATTATAGATGTGGGATTAGCTCAAGCCAAATATCCTCTAGACACAACTCATCATTATTTTGAAATAGAAATAATGGATCCAGGTGAAAACTGCTATATTGCCATAGGATTAGCGAGAAAAGTAAGTTTAAATATATTCTACCAAAATTACTTTTATTCATTTCTTATTATGTTGTTTAAGTTTTAAACTTTTTAAAATGACTTAATATTAAATATTTATTTTAATGCTTAAATTTAAAAATTCTGTCATTTTGTAGTGTGATATGTGAATTAAGATTGTTGGTTTTATTGCAAGCAAAAAATTTTCACCTGTTATCAGAAACGTTTAGGTTCTGTGTTAACTGCAATTTATTTTAGCAAAGCATATTGTGACTTAAATTTGTTTATTCAGTGGATAGATTAATATTGTAAGAATATTACTGTTTTTTAAATTTTCTAATCTAGAACTTGGCTTTATTTATTTATTTATTCATCATGCAATAATAAATTATTTTAGTTCTGGTAAAAGAACAACATTTTGCTTTGCAGCCATCTTAATTCAATTTATTAATAAATTTCCATTGTATAGGCATTTTCGTCTTTTAGAAGTAAATAAACTGTGCTGCAACATGTTTGACTTTATGACAATATAAATAATTTTCACTTCAACTGAAATTACATTTTCGAACCTGTTTATAAGCTTTTATTTAGCTTTGAGTGTTTTCCCTGTGATAAAAGAAGTGTGATTGAGTTTTCAAAATATTTCTTGATGAGCTCTCTAGCTCAAATTTTGCACATACACGGTTTGTGAATAAAATACAGTGAAGTGGTTTTTTTAAAAATCCAGTTTAGATTTTTTTTTTTTAATTTAATGTTGAAATGATTTTTCACGTATATGAATGTTTTTTTTTTTTTTTTTTTTTTTTTTTTTTTTTGACATAAATGAACAAACTCTCAGAATTTCACTATTTTTACTATCACCTAGAGCAGAAAGCAAAACATCTTTTAAATTTATATGAAATTTTTAATATAGTTTCTGATCTTTTGGGAAATTTTCAAAAATTGCTCACTTTATTTCGAACTGTTTAATATATATTAGTTTAAAATTTCAGCGTTTAAAAAACATATAAAAGTTTTGAAATTTTAATAGATTAAAAATAAACTGTTCATCCTCATTTTAAAAAGAATGATAAAAGACATTAATAGGTGAATTTCTGCATTAAAAAAAAAATGCTGCAGAAAGGGCAGTTGCAGTTCATATGGCATCACATGATTTGCATAGAGTTTGAAAGCTAAAATGTCATTATACATCTCACGGTTTTTCTTGCTTTCATGTAAATTTCTTAAACATTGATTTCATTTACCGTATTTGAAGGCATATAAGACGCCCTTTTTTTATTAAATTTGGTCTCAGAAAAGTTGCCTGCGTCTTATACATGAAGGACACAGATTAACTTTCAATACTGAATGCTATTTTTAGCCCGTATAAAGGTCTAGACACACATAACTTTTTCTACATCTGCCATAATTATTTTGTACATGTGTGAAATATCTGTCGCCAAAAAGCACGAAAGCTCGAAGCTGATGTCGAAGTTCGAACAGGTTCGACGGTCACATTACGTCCATGGAGCCTTTCCTTCTTTACATAGACTTTCTTTGACTCAGCCAACACATGTGTCGGTATCGATGCTATTCTGTATAAACGTGTCAGTATCGGTGCGTAAAACTATTTATTTAAAAAAAATAACCTGGAAAATATGACTACAGAAAAAAAAAGATTAAGCTATACAATTCAGTATAATTTAGGGGTGTTAAACTACGCCAAAGTGCATGGAAATAGAACAGCAGCATGGCATTTCGGTCCACCACCTAACGAAAAAATTATACGTACTTGGCGACTGCAGGAAGATCAACTGGGGACTGCTAAAAAACAAAAACATTGGCGGGAGAGCGATCCGACCGCCCGCCAACCCAAAATTTACAATATCTTTCGATTTTCCCGCTCTCCCTTTTATAATTCTACATTATTTCTCCCAACTTTTTCTCTATTTTTAATTTCTGATTTTTATGGCTTGCTTAATCCTTTGTTATATGAAAAAAAATTTTGTTATATGAAAAAAAAAAAAAAAGTGATTTCGGACATTTGAAAGCAATTGAATTTTCTGTAGGTTATATCTAAAACAAAACCTTGCAAATCAGATAACTTCTGCTTTGTGGGTGAGAGCTTATACGTATCCAAAAACGTCATTCTCCAGTTCTCTAATAGGCATCGAGCTCCACTGCATGTCATCTGGCATATATTAGCCAATGAGGACAAAGCAAGCTGTTATTTGGATGTTCTTTAGTTATTTCATTCATTTTGTCCTGAGTTGTGTGAGTACATGTGCCTTCAAGAAATAGTTTTAGAAATTATCATCTTTTGTTATGTCTGCGAGAAAGGCGAGATACTCATGTACATTTAAAAAAAAACGTACACAGTTGACTTTCCTTCCGTTATTTCCTCCAAAAAAATGTAATAAATTTGCGATGTGTAACGCCTGTCGTTGCGATTTTCCGATTTCGCATGGTTGAAGGGCGATTTCTCAAACATGTGTACACAAAAACATATGGAAAGCATGAGTTGTTAAAAAAAAAAAAAAAAAAAAAAAAAAAAAAAAAAAAAAAAAATTAAGTTTTTCTTCGGAAACAAAGGACCAAAAAGTAATTAATGCAGAATGTCTGTTCTCTGCCTTTTTACTGGAGCACAACCTGCTACTGAATGCATCGGATCACGCTGCAGCTTTATTTAGAAAAATGTTTCCTGATAGTGAAATCGCTAAGAAATACTCAAGTGCAAGAACCAAAACAGGTGCAATTGTTAAAGAAATGGGTTTGAAAAATAAATCTTCAGTTATTGATTGCATTAAAACAGCTCCATTCTGCCTCTCTATGGATGGAAGCAATAATACCGATTCAAAACTGTATCCAATTGTTGTTTCTTTTTTTAATCCAGAGTCTTCAGAAATTGAGTGCAGTTTACTTTCTGTCTCCACTTTAGAAGGACATTTGACAGGCTTTAATATAGCACAGCTAATTATTAAAACTTTAAAAGAAAATGCAGTCCTTCTGGATAATTGCTTAGCACTTGGTGCCGATAATGCACCAGTATTGGTAGGCTTGAAGGCTGGTGTTGCATGCATCTTAAGGAAGGGAAATTCAGATTTTCAGATTATGAGGTGCACCTGTCACCTCTTAAATTTAGCAGCTGAAAAAGAGGCAGCTTCTTTACCAATAAATGTGGATGAACACATTGTTGGTATTTATTATTATCTTGAAAGGCTTTCTAAAAGAAAGGAAAAGTTGAAACAGTTCCAACAGCTGCATAACAGCAGTTTACAATTAGAAAACCTTGGATGAAGTTATAAAATCAACTAGGATTGACACCCAGTGGAGTTTAATTGGAAAACTGAAAGGTGCTGATGGAATTTTAAAATATAGTGAACTGTCTAGAATTATGTTGGCCATCTTGACAGTTCTCCATAGTAATGCAGAATGTGAGAGGATTTTCAGTGTTGTTTAGAAATGGAGGACTAAATTTAGATCTTATATTAGTGATGACACATTAGAAAAACTTTTATTAGCGAAAGCAGGCCTACATGGCAATTGCTATGAACAAAATTATGAAGTTTCTTTCTTAAAAAAAGAAAAATCTGCCACTGTTTATAACATTTGTACAAAAACTGATCAAAATGTCTTTTTTTTTTTTTTTTTTTTTTTCCTTAAACGATACAAGTAATAAAAATGTTTTTTATGTGGAAGGTATTTTTGTGTTGCTTGCATTTAAGAACTAGTTACTATTTAAAGTTAATTATTAAAAACTATATTTTTATCATTTAAAAAGTCTTTTTAACATTGTGAAAAATCTCCTGATTTTTTAGTGCCATAGGTTGACAAGTATACATTTTATAGATGTTATTCCCAACCTGTTTTCTTAATGGTAGTTTTGCATTTGTTTTTCATTTCATTTATTTATATCTAAAATAACAAACTTTAACGATAAATTTTGCATTTGCTTTTCACTTCCTTTTTTTATCTCTAAAATAACAAAGTTAAAAATGGATTAGTGTTTAAAATTATTTGCTATGAAATATGTTGTAGTATTTTTAATTTTTTTCATTTTATAAGGTTATATACATTTTTCTGAAAATGTCATTTTAATAGCTGGTTTCTGCATTGTTGTATTTTTTATAGGATTTTTAGAATTCTAATCTTCAAAAATGTGTCTTATAAAGGTTTGAAATTTTCATAGGCTGTAAAATACACTCTTGATGCTTTTTTAAAGGAAGAATGATTGAAAAACTATATTAATTATGTTTCACTCTAGAACTGTTTTTTTAAACTAGCCTCTTGCTTGATCAGCTAAGACATGCATAACTTTCCAGACAACTTCGCCATACTTATATATCATTACCCATGGCAATGTTTTTTTGTAATGACTCCCCAGGCCAAATACATGCCAGGTGCCTTAAATAACAAAGTATTTTACAGTGAATACTCATTTATTTTAACAATAGAAAAATTTTATGTTTATATATTTTGTCTAAAATAATAAATTTTATAAACAGTTAAAAAAAAGGTTAGTCTTACGGTGATATTTGTGTTCAAGTATTAATGGAAATAAGAGTTCTGGAAAAATATTTCTTCTGACTGGGGAAGAGAAACTGTTTTCAGATTCATACCTTTCTAAAAATTAATCCAATGTGAAGTTAAATTTTAATTTAATTATGATTTTCATTGTTGAAGCTTATAATTTCAATGTTTGTGGTAGGCTACTTCTCTTATATATGTTATGCTTTTATAATTTAAGAAGTGAAAGTTGTTAATATGTTTGTAAATTTTATATTCAAAACAGTATTACAAAATTGATTTAGAGCATCTTTTATTGTTGTCTTCTGTAGGATTATCCAAAATATAGGCATCCTGGATGGAATAAAGGATCAATAGCTTATCATGCTGGTGAGATAGTTGTAATTTTTTAGTAAAAAGAAATTTAATTTTTTTTTTTTTTTTTTTTTTTTTTTTTTTTTTTTTTGAAATGATCTGGAAAACCGGAATATGGAAGTCTTTTAAACATGAAAATTTGTATAAATTTTTGTCATGCTTAGAATAGTATTTCATTTGTTCAAGAGATATTAGCAGAGATCCCTTCCCCTCCCCCCAATTGCTGGATCATATATCGAGAAGCAGTAAAAACTGACCTGTTTGTTCCCTTGTATTGTAGATAGTGGGCCTACGTAGCCAAATGGATGAGACCTCTGAAAAGTGGCTAAGCCTACATTCAAATTCCTGCACATGAGCTGTCTTTGTGAGTCTGTTTGTTTCTTAAATATAACATAAATACTTTTTCCTTAGAGAGTCTTTCACAAAGATTTTTCATCCCTTGCTTAAGAAAATCCTCACATCCTTTGGCATATTCAGTCAAATAAACATATTAGCAGATGAGCAAAACATAACATATACACAAGGGGAAACTATGTTTCTTAATTATATTTCAGCACAAGAAATGAGATCTTTGTGCCACGTATTACACCATAGTACCAGTTTTGCTGAACTGTTTTCTGAACATTCAGCTACCTGCAGATAATTGATTTTATTTCTTCAACTATACTGAATGTTCGCCTGTCAGTATAATTTCTAATACATGATGTATAGACACAGTTTCTGTGAAGAAACATGTTAATCATCCAACTCTTTCTGTAACTGCTTTATCACCTTTTCTTTTACCTGAGGCCTTAGGTGAGTAATTCCGAATAGTGGAAAGCCCTCTGGCAAACTCGTTAGTGGAAAGATTTCAGAATACATTAATTTTATTGACACTTTGCCTAATAGAAGTGTGCATTATGAAAAGAACTCGGTTGTTGCATTTTGAGAGGTATTTGGATCACCAGTATCATCTCATGATTGCCCTGAATACCGCAACCATTTCAGTGCGGCATCCATCAAAATCTGCCAGAATTTTTAGTTCAGTATTTTGAAGTTTCTGTTTGAAATGGAGTCTCCAGCTTTGTGAGGTAATGTAATACAGTCAAAAGTCTTTAATCTGGACTCATCGGGACTTCAGCGATTCCGGATTATCGATTTTTCCGGATTATAGATCATCAGTTTAAATCTGGTAAGTTGGTATGCAGAAATTATAAAATTAAAAATATGAAACCGCAATTTATGAAATAAATAACAAATATGATCTAAAGGGTATCAAAATTTACAAAAAAAAAAAAAAAAAGGCTTAATATTTATTTGTTTACTTTATTAAACATTTCTTTCAATGTAAGTTGCTTAAGTTGCTTCGTTTTATGTGATAATACTTTCTCTTTAATTCTATAAACAGACATAATTTCTTCTTCAGTTAGAAAGTTCCGCTGTTCAAGTCCTATAATTGCTGTATCGAGAATACCCACTAATTTGTCAATCGAAATTTTTTTGTTTTCAATAACCTCTGTGTCACTTTCTTCTTTATCGGAAGCGAATTATAGTGATGAGGAATTTGATTTAAATCATATCGAAGACGGAGTACATCGAGATGAAATACTACATTTAGTAAGGAATTATAAGCCAGATAAAATAAAAGCATCTCCCTGAAGATAAGGATGGTGCTGACAGATTAACTTCCAATTCATTGCGTGCTGTGGCATCCCCCCCCCCCCCCCGCGCCGCAGAGCAGCGTGAAATTGATAAACAGATTTCAGAATAGTTAGAGAAACGAAGGATATGCCTTTATCCATTTTTTGCAGCAATTCCACTTTTTGTTTAATGGACTTCGAAACATACTTTCGCTTTGTAGATCCTTTATTAGTAAATATCGGAAATTCTATTTGACATAATCGAAAGTTCAAGCTTATTTATAAAATTGCTCTAACAGTGGGCAAAAAATAATAAGCCGGATCCAATTCAAAGATTAAGGAACAACGCAATCTGCAACATTAACTGAATTAGATAATTTTAGCTTAGCTTATACCGTCCGTTATACATTAAACGCGCAAACGTAAATGTATTATGCGCATTAGCACACGCATATTCGCAGCCGTAAAGGTCTTACCTTATGCGTCAACGCGCCACATGCGCAGAAAGTTTGTAGCTTTGAGGACTGGATTATAGATCATTCTGGATTATGGGTGTCCGAATTAACGACTTTTGACTGTAGTAAAAATGAAAGGTCAGACTTAAAATCAAAAGGTTAGGTTGCAAGCCTCACAGAATTTCACACTGCATTGTATGAACTTTGTGGTGATCATGCATTAGTCCATAATAAAGTCTTGTACTGGGCTACTCACTTTTGTAAAAGTCATATCTAGCATACAAAAATTTAAGTGCCAAAAAAGTCAAAACTACAATAGGCAAAAGAAAAGTGCAGCTGTATAAAAGAGGTGTCATGAAACATTTGAGAAAATATAAATAGTTTAATTAGTTACAATGATTTCATCAGCATCAGTGTACTGTATTTTGATAGAAGCTTTGTAGAGGGAAAAAATTGTACTCACTGTGAAATTTTGTTAGGTCCATCTCTTTTAATACAATGTTGAAATGGAGATTTCACGATGAAAATGAAAGGTTTTTCAAATAATCAATTTAATTAATAGTTGAGCAAATGCAGTTTAAAGTCTTTGAACCAGTATTAAAATAACTACTAGTCAAGTATAGAAGTTATGCTCCCTGCAATGACAAAATTTTTGACAGCACAATCATAAGTGAAGTAAGTAATGATCTCTGCTTAGAATTATCAAGGAATCATAATGAAAGATCTGCATACAGAAAAGTATGACAGCATGTGAGTGTTTGTGAAAATTGTTTAGAATCCACCTGCCTTGCTTAATCATGGAGAAGTCATTTTGAACACTAATACACCTTTGGACGTGTGAAGGTTGTGACACATTTGCTGACATGTGCGATCAGGAAGCTCCCCATGAAGTCTGTACATGACTCCATTAGACTTCAGATTCTTCCCAAATTGAAAGAGCACCTTTACAAACAGTATGCCTTCTTCCCCTCTGAAACAAATTTCTTTAATGATCACTCAGGCTATTCCAGGACTTGCAAATGACCTTTGTGTTTCTTAAAAGTAACATGGCCACAATTGTAATTTTAATTATTTTTATGTTATTTTGAAAGCAGACAAAATGAAATCAGTTAAGTTATTATACACATAATGAAATTAGGGAAAATAAATACATGATTCTTGTTTCAAAGTTCAATTACATTTAAAAAATGAAAAAAATATAATTGCAAATGTGTCGCACCAAGGGTTCTAAGGGCCACAAGCAGCTCACGAGCCTCAGATAAGGGGCCAGAGAGCCATAGTTTGGCTGTGCTTGTTATGTGTAATAAAAAATTGTATTTAGCTCTAAAATATATGCGAATCTAGATCATCTGCTGCTGAAGTTCTGAAAATAGTTAATGGTTAATTTATTATTGATTTAAAATTATTGCTGATTTAATGCATGATTAAATAAAATCATTCATTAATTCAAAATAAAGGATGTAATTGAAAATAGGTTATAAGAATATGTAATATTTGTTGATTGTGTTCTAAACATACCATACAGTTCTCATGTAATCATATTATAAAATCAAATACCTTAAAAGACTAGAAAAAAGAGATGGTACAAAACTTTATCAAAACATAAATGATTTTTAAAATGAATTGTTTAATGTAAATAAAGGTATTCTGCTGAAATTTATATGAATGATGTTAGAAGAATTCTTGAAAATTTGATTTTTCTGTAAGGAAAATGTATTAATGCAATTACAAGATCAGAATCATTTCAGGAAAAGTTAATGGTCAGTTTTCAGTTTTTGTAGCATTTATTTTATTTATTTATTTATTTTTTTAAGGTAGTAAATAAAACATAAGTTCTGAGTAATTCCCTCCCAATTTATTATTATTTTGGTTGATATTTCTGCTTAATATAATAATAGTGTGCATCCTCTCCTCCAGTTGTTCTGAGATTTAATAATTATATAGTTTGTTCTGTCTCCGCCCCCAATAAAAGTGAGGCCTGTAAATTAAGTGTAAAGTTTGTAGTTAGTAATTTGTAGTAAAGTAAGCCATTTTCAAATCAATTTTCAAGGGTTCTACTGCATTTAAAATTTTATGAATATTTAAAATTTGATGAATTTAATATTTTTTTTTTTAAATCATGTTTTTAGCCTCTTTAGAAGTACTTTTGATAATTTTGTTATATATTTTAAAGTAATAATTTATATTTACTATTAATGGTAATGTATACTTTTTTGATAGATGATGGTAAAATATTTGTGGGTAGTGGTGTAGGTGATCCATTTGGACCTCGTTGTCATAAGGGTAAGTTTTGGCAATCTCTAAACCTTTCAGTTTTAATTTGTATGAATTTAAAATCATTTCTTTCAAATGTAATTTGAGAAAAAATGTTAATAACTCAAATGCAGAAAAAAATGCTGTGAGGAAATTATTGATGACAAATTCTTTAAAAAAATGTTGCTTAACAATATTGTGATCTCTTCATAAAATCTAAATGGTGCAAATCCTCCTCTTTTTTTTTTTCAGAGATGGTTTGAGTTGTTTTCCAAATTAAATTTATTTTGATCTGAATTATTTTCATATGTTACCAAGATTTAGAGAGCATTTTATGAAGATTTAATGTTTAGTGGGTAATATTTGTTTTCTTTAATTGGTAAATTGTGATTCATTTGATCTACAAGGTTGTATATACTTGGTTATTAATTTTATCATCATTGTGTTTAAAAGCATCTTGATAAATAAAAGTTTTTTTTTTCTTTTTTGGGGGTTTTATTATAAAAAATTATGCAAAATGAAATTAATCCAAACCATAGCTTAATGTATAATCTGTTAGTCTCAATTTTAATTTAATATAATTTTTCACTAAAATTAAGTTATAGCGTGTAGTTTAACATGAATAATTTGTGTGTCTTAAAATTGTCAATTTAAAGTCTTTTATAGTCAGTCACATCACCATGCGACATGAAAATCTCCCTTTTTTTTTTTTTTTTTTTTTTTTTTTTTTTTTTTTTTCCATAATGACAATTATGATGTACTTTTGATATTGTAAGTTTTAACCTAGAATTTAGGAGATATTCTTGAATATAACAGGGCATTTTAAATCATTCAGTGTGGAAAATAACTTTCCTTCCTTCTGATTTATTTCCTAAAATTAATTTCTAGGAAAAAGAATCAATTAAAATTTGGTAATTGTTTTCTAATTTTTGATATTTTTATAAACATTATTTGTTTGAGATATTTCATTTTCTTGTAATTTGAAATATTTTGTGTGGTTTCTATATTTCCAAATGCTACTTGAAATGGACTCTATTTCTTTACCACTTTCATAACAGAAACTACTAAGGTATCCCTGCAAGCAAACGTCTAGAAGAAACCGAAGCACTTGACTAGATGTGCATGATTCTTCCCTTCATGATGCTAATGTATGCCTTTTAGTTTGGAAAGTTGCCAAATGCAACCTATTATACCTGCTTGAGCATCACTTTAACATGAGTAGTCCTTTCTCAGGCTTTTGCTCATTGGAAGAGATTCCAGTTAAGCTTTTATGTGGCAGATTCATGCTACCTCTAGCATTGTGAAAGTCTTGCTGCTGTTCTGTTTAAAAACTTTCGGTGACAAAAGATTTTAGCTTCTGTATTATTTGTTATAAAGGTAGTAGAAATGAAAAACAAGGATTGATTAATAATTGGAATAATGTGATCATAATTATGCTCCTGACAAATTTATTTTGAAAAGTGAATGGAATTTTGGTTGTTTGAATGGTAATCTTGAACTAAATTAGATAAATACTGTAAACAATGATATTTTCTGGACCTCATCACGATTTGCCGTCTGGATCTTCTGCATTAGATGATTTTAAATTGTTTGTGTTTGATAAATTGTGTGAATTAATAAAAGAGAGCACAAATGAATATTCTTAATTGGGGGAGATGATACTAAAGATGCAAATTGGGAACCTATACTTTCCACAGTACAATGTAGGCTTTAATAACAACTTGGAAGAAAATAAGCATTTTCATCTCTAATAACGGGGAAAAAAAGTTTTTTACAAAAGTTAGAATCTTTTGTTTCTCTAATAAAAGGGAGGTTTGTAGATTGTTTTAAACCTTGTTTCAAACTTTTAAATATATTTCTGTTTATCAAGTAATGATAAAATTTAAGAGGTGACGTGCAGTATATGCTTTTGAAGCCAAATAGCACATAGTTTAAATGCAGATGTGCACTTTGCATTTAGGCTGTACTGATAATTTTGAACTGTGTGGTTAAAAAGGGATAAAACTGAAAGAATGTGCTGAGGACTATGATACACTGTTGTTATACAATTGATCAGAACTTTTAACATGTAAAAGACAGGAACTTTAATTCAACCAGTTTTTTATTAGTGCAGGCTGATAATACATTAATTGAAATCCAAATTTTATTCTTGTGGAACGATTATGCCTAACAGAGTTAAAGATTTAAATTTGAAGATTGTGCATGTTATGTGAATAAAAAGAGCCCAGGAAACAGAACTTCCCCCCTCATGTTCATTCGCATTGTATAACATACATATAGGAGGAGCAGATCTTGCACATAAGAAAAGGAAATATTGTACAGCTATCCTTTTGAATACTACAGTAAACAGTGTGTATTATTAATTTGATTACAATAGAGAAAATCTAAGATGATATGACTTTAGGCTGCAACTCGTACAAGAATTAGAAAATGCATTTTAGCTTCTTTTTTAGCATACACCCACTTCTGTGCATAAACAAAGGAAAATGATTCAGTATCAGAAACAAAGTAATCAAACAACAAAAATCAATCCCATTCAAAGTACACAAGAATGGAAAACTTGGAAGATGAACCTCTATAAAGGTTGTTAATACGTATCTGAATCTAGCTGTGCTACATCTGTTGTACCTACCTAGCTGTACTCCAGAGCCAGTATATAAAATAAAATTTTTTTGCTATCAGTGATCAAGTGGATAAAACCAGTAATTACATTAGTTTTTCGTTAGTTTGATTTCTGATATCTCAGAGAAGCTACTCGCATAGATTTTGAAATTTCTCCCTTGTTAATAGAAATATAAGCTTGCTTTCCTGGGATACTCTTCCACATTGTCATCTGTACTCGGGCAAAAGTTAAAATAGTGGCTGTGTTAGCAATGAAGATAAGAAAAATTGGGATAATTTTTTGTTACAAAGTGTACTGGGAATACTATATATATGCCTTAGGAATTATGTGTTTAAGGAGTACTTTTGGTACTTTTCCGTTTTGCCGGCGCAAATCTCGCCAAGCAGACTTTGTTGGCAACAGTATACAGTATACACATAAAAAATCTTAGTTCTAAGAATTTTTTATTTTGAAGGCACATTAATATGATTTAAAATTTTGTAAAAAGCCAATAAATAAAGACAATAAATTTGTAAAAAGACATTAATTTAAGAATTTACTATGCTTTCATGGTTCAACATCCTGATTCGCTTGTTCGTATCACGTGACCCAAAGTGTTCTCATCTCGCATAAACTACGCTACAAAAATATAATTCTCTCAGTAATTATTTACATTAATTTGGAATACAAGTTTAAATGTAAGAATTATTTCAATTCATACGAATAGCTTACTCAAAAATTATGTAAAACCGCAATGTTTTACTTTGCGAGTGCATTCTCATTAGAATTGATAAATTTAACCCTTAATTTTGCCTTTCCTATATTTTCGGGTGAGTGGTGTGATTGCATCCTAATTGACTTAGTTACCGCAAATGTCTTATGGTATAAAATTTAACTATCTTTTGTGAGTATTCTATGTAATTGTATGCCATTATTGAAAGAAACAATCAATCTGATAAGAAATGGCTGTGACTTGTTTTGAAAAAGATGCATTAGTTGTACCATTATTGGCGACTATATCGTTTGCGCCATCAAAACGGAAAAGTACCGTACTTTCTAAGCAAAATTGCTTCATGTTTACATTACTCAGACAAAAAATTACAAAACAACCTATATGACTTCACAACCTTTAACCCAATACCCTTGAACACTTGTCTTAATAAATAAACTGATCTGAATTTTGCTATAAATATATTATTTTTAGTGGGTGTTTATGATTTTTACTTAAGAGCAATAAAGCAGTAATAAGAATATGGTTCATTTTTCATATTTAAAATATTGTTCAAAACTTCTAGTTGGGGTAAATCAAAGGAAAAGATTATTTTTTTTTTTTTTTTTCCCCCACCTGCATTTTTTACTGAAAATTTCAGCATGTAAGGGTTGTTTTTGTTGAATGACTGTAAAAATTCTTACTCGTGCTTATTGATAAATTTATAATAAAGCATTTGAAATGCCATTAAAATTATGTCCTTCTTTCAAAATAGGGTTGTTTTTCTTATCCCTAAATCTTAATTTAAACAGTTTTGTAAAATCTAAAGCTAGAACAATAAATGTTAATTGCATATACAAGAGCGAAGTTTACTTTCTATATTAAATTTATAGTAGCTCTTCTAAATTGCAGATTAAAATGTACATAAATTAATAAATCTTTTTAATAAAGTGCTTTAAATTTTATTGCTGTGTGTAAGAATTAAATTACATGATAAAGTATTATAAATAATGATGAATATTTTTTCCTGTAGCACTAAGATTCTGTTAAATTATATTTATTTACTGAATAAAAAAAATCATACTGATTATTGAAAAAATATGTTTATATATATCTAGTTTTTGTAGATAACTGGAGAAAGTTTTCTCACACCATAAAAATTGCCATGATGAAATAGTTGTAAACACTAAAATGGAAATTTAGAAAGTATTGATACATAGTACAGTACAAGGTCCAAAGGACATCTATGGACTAAAAGCAATTTTTTCTTTTTTACAAAAAACAAATATGTCATACAGAGGCTGTTCGCACATTTTTTAGACTATTTTCCTTGTATTTGCAGAAATATTTTACTTAAAATTTTTGTGTTTTAAATGTACTGTTTGATAACCCTTGTTCTTCATTATCTTTCTACATCATAATTTCAAAAACAATAGAACAATATTTGTAGTGTGAGAAGAGGTATTTTATCCCATTCCTTTTGAACAGCTTTCCAAAGTCCAGGGTTGTAGGTTGACGTTTGGACAGTCAGCTTTTTAAAAGACCAAAAGCACAAAAATCCATATGTGATAATATCATAATATTTAGTAGGGATAAGAGTGCAGGGTAGGGGCTTTATGCCCATTTCTTGTTCCATTTTTTTCCAGGATATTAACAATAAAATTTGACATGTGGCTTGCTTGGTCGTGATGCAGTTATACTGATTGTTGGCACTGTGGCTAAAGAGAAGGTATTTTATATTTTTAAATTGGGTATTGGATATGTTCTTGAAAATATGTGGAATTGATCTTAACATTTTTCTCCACTCTCTTTATTTTTAATTTGTTGTTATATGAAAAACCAGCAACCATCATAAATCCCTTTGAAGAACTTTCTTTAGATTCTTTGAACCATGTTTCAAGATTTTTTCCTCCTCTTTGATGATGATAATGAATCTCTTTTGATTGCTGTCATTTATATACACCCGAGATTCACATATTATGACAACATTTTTCCATTTTTATCTCGATAAATGTTTCTCATAAAGACTTCTGCAGCATGTTCTGTGTTTGGCAATATGTTGTTAAAAAAAACAATGCACATTATTCCCCCCCCCCCCGTTTTAGAATTCAAATCAGCATTAATTACTTTTTTCACAGTTGACAGTGAGTATTTTAATAATTTTGCTACTGTCCTTTTACTTAGCAGAGTTTCTTTTAACATCTTACCTTTATAAAATTCGAAACATTCCAATTTTTCCTTGGATATTTTTCAGAACAATTTTTCCTCTTTAAGCCAAACTCTGACTTCCCCCCTATTGTTGACAATATTATCTACTGCAACTTTAGATATTATAAAACCATAGCTTTCACAGTGTTTTGTTATAATTAGATATGGATAATTTTCTTCGGAAAGAGCACTAACATAGCCTTCCATCTATGGCTTCTTAAAAACCATCATTTTGCATGAAAACAAAACTATCAACTAGTAGATGATAATAAATACTTTCAAAAATATAGCTGCAATTAAAAAACAAATTTCCAAGCTGTCGAATTTTTTTTATAGCAAAGCAAAATCATCTAAAAAATGTGCAAACAGCTTCCGTAAAACTGATTTTTCATCTGACTAACTGAGCTATCTTAATATCATTTTCAGATACCTGGTGTCTAGGATACTGCTATGCCAATGACAGTACATTGATTAACATTAGCTGCAATCACACGTTCAGCCTTTGAGTGGTTGTGGGGGCGGAAAGGTCTGTCTGACCTAAAGCATACTTGTTTGGAGTGGCATGTTTCTTATACTGGTTTTCTTTTATTGGCATAATGGTGGGAAGAATTAAATTCAGAAGAAATTCAGTTAGCTTAGCAAATTGTACCCTTCCTTAACTAATTTGATCCAGCTTATTATTTTTCACATGCTATTATTGGTACAGCTATCTTAATAAAATTAAAGCTTGAATTTGATTTTGTCTAAAAGACTTTCTAAATTCGGGAGCTAAAGCAGGATCTGGAAAGCAAAAGCATACTTGATACTTAACTTCTATGGTGGCCTTGGTGCGAGAAAAACACAATTTGGGCTTAAGAAAGTGTGATTTTAACCTTATTATAGCATAGATTTTGAATGTTATAGAAAGTGAAATTTTCCAATTAATGGAACTTGAAAGAACTATGGAGGGAAGTGGTAATAAATTAAGATAATGTAACAGAAGTTTTCCATTGCAATGACAATGCCTCACTTAATTAATGGGCAGCAGAATATGTTTTATATGCAGAAAGAATCAGTACCATGAGGAAAGGCATAAAGAAATTTTTGGAGAGTCAACAGATTTTAATTGATAGTTTAGTGGGAATTACCAACAAGGCAGTTACAGGATTTGAAACTTTCTAACTGAATGAGAACTTATGTCTGTCTGTAAAATTAAAAAGTAGCACAAAAGCTTAAACAATTTACATTAAAAGAAATGTTTTATAAAAAAAAAAAAAATATTGAGCTTTTTTTATTAATTTTGATTCTTTGAAAATCATAAATGATTCATTATTTCATTAACAACTGTTTCATATTTTCATTTGCATAATTTGTATATATCATCTTACTAGATTTTAACTGATGATCAAAAATTCAAAATCTGGAATTCCATAGTCCTAATGTTTCTGAGTTACTGTATTAAAATTCTTTCCAAACGACCAAACTGTAAAGAGGTAGCGCATGATGAAGATCCTAAGCAAAAAGTATAAATAATTATTAAAATTATTAGCACTAAATTTCTTGGAAGGAGGAATGGATTTCTCTGAAACAGGAGTTCTTCAAGATAAGCACTTTAGTTGTTTACAAAAAATAAGTTTCAGGGTTGACTAATATGTGAACAAGTAAAATGAGTGGATAAAAAGGCATTTAAAAACACTAAATTTTTTATTTATTTTAAAATGCACACAAACACAAATACTCTTAATTATTTCTAATTACAGGTGATATAATGGGCTGTGGAATTATCTTTCCCAGAGATTTTGTATGTCTGTTTGATTGTGATGCTCCTTGTGAAAATGCTCCATCTCTAAGTCTGGATTATGATGATGATTTTTCGGGATATCTGAGTGAATCGGAAGACGAAGAATGGTGGAAAGAAAAAGAAAATGTCGAGACTGGTGTAACAATACAGGTGCAGTATCATGCAATTTAGCATTTAAATATGTTCATCTTCTGGGTATACTTGTGTGTAATTTTTGCATCACTCGGTTAACTTATACCAAAACAAGTTAAGTAACTTATTGTTAACTGATTGTCACCATTATTATCAGGGACATAAATATTGCAATGAATGTGAGATTATTTTTGTTCCACCTTAAAATCCCTTCTGAAAATCATCATATAATATGTACAAACTGATTTTGAAAATTGAATTAATTTTTTATCAAATATGGAAATTTTTCAGGAAATTGTACAATTTATATTTTTGTAAAAATGCTGATCGAATATATAAATGCAGTGTAAATTCTTTAAGACAACAATCCGGTATTCCAAATATTTTGGTTATTTGTAGAGGTGATCACATTAGAGAATACGATTCACAGTTATGTTCGATATTACTTGTTTATATGTTGTATAATAATCTACTGAAAACTGCCACTGTCAAAGGTTTTCCATCATGAGAAGTTTTGCTGTAAATTTTCTTTAAGTCTTGATTGTTGCATTTGCCGAACTGAAATAGTAAACAGTAATAAAATATAAATTTTTAGACTATTTTTTTTTTAATTTTATTACAGTTCCGCATTATACCTATAATGGGCAATGATTTAATAAATTAATTCAAAAGTAAAATGTAGATTTATATTAAATTTCATAAATTAAACAGAATATTTATAAAATCTTTCAAAACTTTAATGATTTTTCAGTTTTACATCCAGTGCATTAACAAACAGAAACCATGACAACAAAATACTAACAATCGAAAGTTTCATGTTTGATGATTGCATTAATAAAAAATCATATAATGAGTTTTCTTCAGATTATCATATTCTGCTCCAAATAAATGTTTTCCTATGAAAAGAGAAATATGTTGCAGTCAAAGAATAAGCCAAGAATATCACTATAGAATTGAATTGTTGGTTCACTAGTTAATTTTTATGTATTGAAAAATTCCAGATTTATGAGCATTTTCAGTGTCCATAATTTCTAACTTAAGTATGAAAAAGAAAGAGTTTCATATTTTTTAACCTTTGTTGTTCTTTTATTTTATTTTGCATTCATCTGGGCTAATCTATAAAATTAAGAGTGAAAGAGGTGTAAAATATTTCTGGAAGGGAGTATTATATGTTTGAATTATACATATGAATTAGATGTATCACTGTTACTGTTCAGTGTTGTTTTCGATATAGTCTTCCCTTCTGCATTGTACATTGTTAGCCCTCTAAAGAAAATAGATCAATAGATAGATAGGTTTTTTTATATATATATATGCAGTTTAATTATTGCAATTTTTTATTGTTCACGATAGAAATCATGATGTTGGATAAATAACTTTAAAGTTTAAAGAAACTTAAAGTTGTTTATATTAATAATAGGAAGTTATTTTGTGTCATTGAAAACGGATTTTAAAAGGCATCCGATCTGAAGTACTAAGACTTAAAACATGTGTGATTCTACAGTCATTTTGTGTTATTTAGAGGTTAAAGATCAGTAATCAATTGATTTTCATTCAAAAAATTTGAAAATTAGTGGTTTCAGGGTACGACCACCGTGCGTCAAAGGATTAATACATATCCCTGTGTACACATGTATAAATACACAATTTAAGCTAGTAAATCACTACCCACCAGGATATGTTTCACAAAAAATTAAAATTCAGTAGTTTAAGATGGAAATATGGCAAATGAAATCTGATTCATAATAGAAATAAGTGTTGGTGAAAATCTTGATTTAAACATTCTCAATTACAATGAAGTTAAACTTTATGATAAAAGAAGATATTTTTCATTTTGACACCAATAAAATAATTAACTGGTGTTCTTACATTTTCAAAAAAGTAATAGGAAATATTATTTTTAATCAGCTTATTGGAATTGAAAACATTTGTACTGAAATTTCTCACCTCCAAAACAAAATAATTATATTTACATAAACAAAATACTTGCTTATAATATTCCTAATGATTTCAATAATATCTATCATAAAAAAAGCTGTTATTAATTACACCCTATAATTTTACAGTTACTAAATGAAGTCCTATTTCAAAACTGAGAGAAGGATAGAGGGAGATGCACAACTTTAACTCTCTAGATTTATAATTATGTACTTGCGTGTATAAAATAGTCCTTTGGCAACTTTGACAAACAGGTCAATTTCAGTTTTCATTAGACACTATGGCAGCCACAGCACTGTACAGATTTTATACTGCTCTAATACCTTTCTTTGTTTTTCATAACTTTCTTGTCAGAACATACTTAATGTTTCATCATTTGCAAAAATTACAGTTCACACCTGAACATTTTCTCGCAGATTTTTCTTGCCAACTGTTATTCCATAGGCAATCCATTTCTGCTTGAAAATGAAGCATTAATGGCCACATGCTTTTGAAACGATGAATGGTAGATAATTACACCATTTCTCAGTAAAAATTTGACATGACTTTTAGTTCTAGATTGTATAGATGTGGTATTACTGTAATTGTTTTTTAGTATTTTGTACTTTTGCTTTATAGAGCACTTTTTGTCACATCTCTTTTATTTGATTATTTTTTTTAAATGACATTTACAAGTTCATAACTTTTAGTAATCCCATTCAGCTTAAAATTGAAAGATTTGTTATAAGTTCATTAATCAATACATAACTGAGGATTCTGAAAAAGTGTACAGGCATAGTTTCTGATTTTTGAAAACATCCTTAATTTAAATAGAAAATTAGGATGGCTTATAACTATCAGGAATAACATGAATGATTTTTGAGGACCCCTTCATTGTAATGAAGATGAAAGACTTCTAATATACCTCCTGATGAGTCTCTTGGAAGAGTTTTTAAGTGTTACATTAATCATTTTTACATTTTTAAATAGAATTTAAAATTTTAGGCACTTACCTTTTCAATGTAGTTTTTATAGAAGTCAAGGGCAAGGTATTTTCACCAAAAACCAAAATTTATTTATATTATGAATTATATTCTTTAATCATTAAACAGGAAGTTTTTCTATAACATGTCCTAGTAAGTAGTGATTTATTAGCTTAAATTACATTATTTTTATAATCTCAGCTACTTTTTAGTACTGGATTTTTGTTTTGAAAGTCCGTATTTCCGCTATATGTATAAATGTGTATGAGAGATATAGACAGAGAGAGAGGTGATCTATTTTGTTGAAGAGTTGATCTTTAGACTGGAAAAAATGGCCTATAATGAACGATAAATTTTAAATAGAACTGATGAGTAGAGTTCACGATCTTCTACTCACTAATTTTTTTTTTTTTTTTTTTTTTTTTTTTTTGAAACTCTGCATAATTATAGTGCTCTTTGTAGTCAGTATGTGTATTATTTGGATTAAGTGTGAAGAAGCTAGCCTTAATCCAGATAATACACATCTCTTTTATTAAGACTGTTACTTAATTTCTGAGTAACATTTATATTATTAAAGATCTCACATTTGTGACCAACACTGATGGCTTGATAGGAAACATAAGATGCTTTAAATTTGAATTCTTAAGTTAAAATCCAGCTGTGTAGCAGTATTTTTTCCCTTAAAGTTATTCATTTAACATTATTTTGATAGAGAAAATTTATGTATGAAAAATTGTTTTAAAGAAGAAGATGTAGTTTGAAAATTTCATTAAAAAAGGCAATTTTTTTTAATTTGTTGTACTTTTTAATTTGTTTCCTTATATTTTGGCACTTTATTGATACATAATATTTTGTCATAAAGTGATCAAAACAATATGAAATACTGTTAGATATATTAAATGAGTAATAGTCTGCCAAATGTTAATTTTTTCACGTATAGCATGTGTTTATCTCTGCATATAATAAAAGGAAGAGTCTATGTGTGGGGTCAGTCGGTCGGTCATTTGCATTGCACGTAAGCTAATAGATCCAGGGCTGTGAAATTTGGTACATATCTGCATCTAGACAAGAACCAGTGCAGCTCAAAGTGATTTTTTCAAATCAACTGAGATTTTTTTTTTTTTTTTTTTTTTTAATTTTATGTTTTTTGATGAAATTACATCATTTTGAGACATAATGGGTTTTAGGTACAATGGCGTATCAACAACGCATTCGATTTTTGCATTAAAGCACAAAGACAGCCAGTGCACCTCAAAAATCGATTCGAGGTGCACTGGCTGTGGTCTAGATGCAGCCATTGTTGTTGATATCAACACTGTTGCCTTTTGGAAAAATGAGGGTGATAATTTTGTGCAGTTTTTAAATTTAAATAAATGAAATATGAAATGTGAAGATATATCATTAGCAATGAGGCTGTGTGGAGAATTCTGAACATTCTGATTCACGAATGTTATCATACTGTTATCCATTTAAGTGTCCTTCTTGAGATTGGACAACAATTATATTTCAATTCTGCTAATGTAATTGAACAGACCCAGACTTTTCAAGAAACAACTTTAACCTCTTTTCTTCCGCCCTTGCACTGAGAATGAGTTTGCACGTACATTACTGTATCATCAAGTGCCAAAGTCTACACGTGGAATATGCAAACAAAAAATGGGACGGGCGTAAAATTGGAACTGATGTACTGATCATCCTGGAATCAAGTCAAGTGAGGTCTCGTCCGAGTGTATACCATACATCCAAACAACTTGGAATGTTTTCACCTGAGATTGTTATTGCACAAAGTTTTAAGGACTACGAATAGTTGACGGAAGAGTGTGCAAAACTTTCAAAGAAGATTGCCAAGTTAGAGGATTTTAGAAAATTATGAACACTGAAATGCAACAATGGAAGAAGCTGCTGTGACTCGCTCCCTACGAATGCTACAAAATCTGTTTGCTGTTATGTTACAGACATGTGCCATGTGAAATCCTCATCAGCTGTGGTTCGATCATAAGGATAGACTGTCTGAAGACTTACTACATCAATCAAGATTTCAGCAAAATAACATGAATCTTGCTTATAATGAAGACATCTTCAACCGAGTTTTTATCATGATTGAGGACAAAATTCGCTTCTTAAGTGGACAAAACTTGCAGTCATTCGGATTACCTGAACCAAAACAAAATGTTGAATCGGCAGTGCCCAGTGAAATTTGTCAGGAAATGAGTTACAAAATACTTAGAACATGAAAAGAAGCTGATTCCAGATCAAAAGGAACCATTTGAAACAATTATGTCTGCAGTTTCGAATCAAGATGGTTTTATTTTATTTTATTTTATTTTTTATTGATGCATCAAATGGTAGAGAAACATTTCTCTTTAATCTTATACTGGCAAATGTATGAGTTAAGAAACACTTTGCACTAGCTGTTGCATCATCCGGAATTGCTGCTGTATTGCAGGAGGAAGAACAGCTCATTCAGCATTTAAATTGCCATTAAATTTGGGAAATACGAAACACCAACATGTAATATTTCTAGAAATTCTGCCAAAGCAAAAGTTGTATAAGAGTGCAAGTTAATTATGCAAGATGAATGCACAATGTCTCACAAAGCTGTGTTCAAAGCCCTTAATGTTACTTTGCAAGACCCGAGACAACAATAGAAGAATGGGAGGCATTGCATTGGTACTTGCCAGAGATTTTCGACAAGCACTACCCATTGTTCCACGGGAGGACACAAGCTGATGAAATGCATGCTTGCCTAAAATCATCATAGATTTGGAATGAAATTCGGAGACTTGGAAACATTGTAGAAAACTGCCAAGACCTGTTATTTGCAAAATTTCCCAACTTAACCCCTTCGCACCGACTGTCACGTATACGTGCTAGCAACGAACGCACTTACCTACCAGCCGACACGCAGGCGTGCCAGAGGATTGTTCCATTCTCTGCCGACTGTCACGTATTTGTGCCAGTACTTTGGAACGTTTTTCAAACTATAATTTCTGCCACAAGATGGCACTCTCTGTCCATATGGTTTCAGATACATGTAAATTAGACCTTCTACTCGAAATGAGAGAAGCATTACTCACATACACGTGTTTTTGATTATATAAACAAACAGGAAAATAAATGTTTCCGAATGGCATGATTTATGACGTCTCTTTAAATCGCACTTTATTCGCACGTGGTAGTTGTTTATTGTAAGTAGAAGTTTTATATGTGCTAAAGCATTGAGTATTTCCGTTTACAGTTCAGTTTTTAGAAAATAATTAGATCTTGTTAGACGTGAATTCTTTCTGTTTTTACCGTTTCAATGTCGAAGCATCGAAAATGTTTAACAGAGCATGAAATAGCAGAAATGATGCAAAATATTTCAGATATTGATTCTGAAATTCTGATATTCTGATATTGATTCTGAAAGATTAACTGAAAGACATTTTCCAAAACTTTGTTCAAAAGAGACTGATAAGAAAATGAGACGACATGCTTCGTTTGTTCACATTCCCGGAAAAATCCTCCAAAACGGCAAATGAGTTATTACGAGTGCAAGGAATGTAAAGTAGGACTGTGTGTAGATCCCTGTTTTCAAATTTTCATACGAAAAGAGAATTTTAAGTAATATATTTAGTTTTCAGATGTATAATGTTAAAATTCATAAAATGGTGAGTAATTAAAATAAAAATGTGTAAAATATGCATTTAAACAAGAAATAAGGTAATTAAAGTATATATATAAAAATATTTATAAAGCATAAGCCGTTTAAATACTCTATAGAGCATTATTAAACAATGCATTGATACTTCAGAAATTTCATGGATTTAGGCTTAATAGCAAAAAAGCCCCTGGCCCTGGAGAGACGCTCGCGTAAGACACTGCCGGCCTCAGCGATAAGCGTGCGTTTTCGCTACCCGGCTCGAAGGGGTTAAGACAGCACTTCACCGATCACAGCTGCCTATGGGAAACAGCCATTCTTGCACCAAAAAATTATACAGTGAAAGCCACTTATAGAAAACTTTTAGCACAGTTGCCTGGCAGTGTTCAAATTTAAAAGTCAATTGATACTGTGTGTTCTACAGATGGCGCTGTAAATTATCCAAATGAATTTTTGAATTCTTGCCTGGAGTACCTTTGCATATTCTGAAGTTGAAAGTAGGTGCATCTATACTGTTGTTGAGAAATTTGGATCTCCCTTCCCTCTGCAATGGTATAAGATTATCTGTCAAGAAGCTCATAAAAAATTTGTTGAAGCAGCTATTATGACTGATCATGCAAGAGGAAAAGATGTGTTCATGCTAAGAATTCCCATTATACCATCTGATGTACCGTTTCATTTTAAACGGCTTCAATTCCCAATATCTAAGTTTTGCCATGAGTATCAACAAGGCACAAGGACAGTCTTTAAAGGTTGTTGGACTTGATCTACAAAGTCCATGTTTTTCACACAGCCAGCTATATGTTGGTTGTTCTAGAGTAGGAAAAAAAGATAATCTTTACATCCTTGTTCCCAGTGCAAAACACTTAATATTGTGTATCCAGAAGCCCTTCAAGAATAGCATAAATTAACTCACTGTAACAATTTATGAGTGCATGCTTAATAAAATATAAAAATGCATTAGGTGGAAATGTTGGTCTATTTAACATTCTAACAATTCAAGATTTTTATAAATATTAATGACATATACTTTTTAAAATTTTAAAGAAAATTTGTTCAGAAATTTAAATATGGTGATAAACAATCATCCATTTACTGTTTGCAGTGCCAGATTTTTAATTTTAAATATTTTTGTAAGTAAAATGTATCGGTTGTTAATAAATCTCTGCCGAAAGTAGAGTAAGAGCAAAATGAATATTGCTTTTTACACTTCAATGTTATTTTTGGTTAATTTCTAAAATTTATGTTCTGGCAAAAAGAAATGTGTAGACATATTCTTGCATTGGAAACTGATGGATGGGGGGGGGAATGTCCAGAAGGAGCTTTTATTATCCACATGCTTTAGAATTATTGCTACTATTTAAAGCATAAGACCTTTAATTTATCTTCCATTATGCTCTGCATAGCTGATTTTCAAAGTGTACCATTCAGTAAAGCAGGAAATTTTTAATTTATCTCACAAATTTAATAGGTCTGTTATTAGTTAAGAAATTGAGCAATTTGAAAGCAATAAATGTAGTTAATAATTTCAATCTTTATTCTGTATTTTTAAATAATGTGTCTAAGTGATATAAAAATACATTTAATTTTTAACATATCCAACTATTATTTTTTATGAAGATGAAAGATGTTTTCAATACTTTGTGTTAAGTAACTAATACAGAATATTTTTAATTTTTATTTGTTCAGTGCTTTACATTTTTTAATATTGTTTAAATGGAATTCTTAATGGCAATGCTTTAAGTTTCCAGATTACAGTCTTTTCTTTTACATTATTTTTGTTATTCCTTTATAAATAATTTTGTAAATACTTTACGATGTTAATAATATATTAAAAGAATTAACAAATATTGAGGAAATACAATGCTGTCACATAATGGATTTGAACTTCTCTGAAGTGATGTAGATTGTCAACTGGGCTAATGTTGCCTGCAATAATTTAGATGAATAGAATAAATTTTACTATAAAATTTAATTTTCTTGCTTATTTTACAGTTTCAAAAATATTAACTATAAAATGCAAAATTCATGAATCTGAGGTTGTGTATTCTTCTTGTCAGGAAAAAATTGTAGAGTGCTTCTTCAGTGCCCAATGTTACCTGTTGTTATAACTAGTGGCTGAAGGTGGACTACAGGAAAGAGAGATTGGTATTGCATTTGACTCTTCAACTACTTTACATTTGAATGGGGCAGAGAGATACTTAAAATATGAGAACAAGTTATGAGTACTGTTCCTTCTAAAATTAAGAAATGGAAGTTTTACATTTGGCAAACTGCTTTCCAGGGTTAAAAAATTAACATTTCGAGGGTTGCAAAGTGACCAAGGATTAGTAATTAATAATCTGTTACTTGTTTCTTTTCTGACAGAAGGTTCGTGATTGTTTATTTTCATTTGATCTGTTTAAATAGTATAAGTATTTTGGTAAAAAGGGTACAAAATGCATTTGTTGTTTGGAAAATTTATTTAAGCTGTAAAGTTTTACTATTAAAAACAAAAATAAAATTAGCCTGTTGGCTAACACTTGCATTTGTCTTATTCATGAAAAGAATGTATGCCAAATTGATAAAAAAAAAAAGAAAGTATTTTCTTAAATTTTATGTATGTACTTTATTTTAGGTATTTTTTACTCGCAATGGGAAAACCATTGGTCAGAAAGAAGTATGCATTCCTAAAGGAGGCTTTTATCCAACAGTTGGTATGCTAAGCAGTGATGAAAAAGTGAAAGTTGATCTGCATCCATTGACTGGTTAAATACCGTTCCTCTTTTTTACATTATTTCTTATTTTAATAAGATATAATGTGCTCGTTAGTCACATATATTGTTGGTGCTTTTTTTTTTTTTTAAAGTGGAATTAAAAATGAACTCTGAGAAATATTCATCGAAGGATATTTTTGCCAGTACTTATTTTGTATGCTTTTTATATACAGCAATGATGTAAATAAGATGCTCCTAGGTTAAATTTTTTATTAACTCAGGGTAGTAATTTTAGTTGCTAATTTAATTTTAAAAATTTCTATATTTTCTTCATAAATTAACCTATTGTTAATGTTCTTCACTGTTACTCTATTAGCTCTGATGCTTATAGTGTCTCATTCTTTCCAACTGCCCAAAGTTAAGCAAAAATTTAATCAGTCATACTTTATTTTAAACAAGACTGTTTTTAATGTTGTGTGCTAAGCATTAATGGAAATATATTTTTTATGCAGATTTGTAAAATGTTCAGAGTGAAGGGGAATCTCAGTTGTGAATTATTATTTAAAATGCTTAAATTTATATAACTCTGAATATACATGTGCATAGTGTATATATATATATATATAAGTAAAACTAATCATCTTATAATGTTTAGCTGAGTGGAAATTATTAAAATTTACTTTACAATGCATTAAAATTTATATAAATTAACAAAATTTTTCTGTTCATAAAATAATGTAAATATAGCACAAACTATTTAAAATAATTTTACAACTAGAATAAATAAACTAATTCTGTGTTATAGCTCTGTTTATTAGAATAATGCCAATTTTGAATTTTATTGAATAGTTTTAATTAAAAAGAGTACTCATGTTCGTTAAATTATGGTAAGTTGTTCAGTTTTCAGTGAAATGAGTTGTATAATAATCTTCAATAGCATTTTTTGCCACTTAATTTTATTAAGAAATGTAATTTTTCATGAAATAATATAGTGTTTCTTGTTAAAATAAACTAAGAAAAAGTTATGAATAACAAATTTATTGTAAAATATAAAATTATTAAGTTTTCAGTTTATAATAACAGTTGTGAAGCATATATAAAATGTTAACAAACAAGTTTAGCTAAAATTAAAACAAGCTATCTGAGCTAACGGGTATTATCATAGGTAGAAATGCTACTTGAAGTAGTTTTATTTTCGTTAAATCAGTTGAGTTGAAAATCACATTGTGTAAATTGAAGACATTGCTTTATATTCTGTACATATTAAAATTTTGTTACATTACTTGGATACATACTTATACCTTGTTATATTTAGAAAATCATAAAACTTATGTACAAAATGTAGATGATTTTTTAATGAAATTTTTTTAGAGACTATGTATTTTACCAGCAATAAAGTAATTTTGAAAATATAACTAGCTGTAATTTGTTTTGAATTTAGCATTTGTATTAAATAGAGCAGATTTTAACTGAGGCAAGCAGGTTCTTTCAAATGTGATAATGTAAGGAGGATATGTATATTGTATGATTTTCTGTTTTAGAATGCTTTAATAATTTAAACTGTAAATTTTTTTCATAGTGGACTATAAAAATGCTGGCATGTTAATTTACAATTTTTAAGTCAGTGGTATGATTCACGAATTTCATTTCTGATTTTTTAATTTATTCATAAATGTTTTTGTTCTACAAGAGCATTTTTTTGTGTTTTGATATTCAATTGTTAAATATTTTAAGAACATTGTCATTTTCTTGAATTAAAGTTTTGTTTTGGATTAATTTTTAAGTGATATTACTTTTAATATGCAAAATTTAAATCTTAAAAGTAAAACTTTAGTACATAAAAATTCTAATGTGGCTTCATAATATATTTTATCCTTGAAAACTCATGCTTGATTCATATATTTCTTTTAATGCTTCAATATTTTTCTATAAATCTGTTGGAAATTTACTATAATACAATCAAACTTGTAGGCAAGTTGCCTAGCCTGAAAGGTATTTTTTAATTTAAAAAAAAATTTTTTTTTGGATAATTCATAAAATATATGTAGATACTAGCATGCTTTATCATTTACAACATAAATAAAAAAAACCACATGAAGCATAGCATAAACATTTCATTTATGTTTATCTTAATAACATGTGTGGGTATCTAATATTTCCAAACTTCTGGGCCACATAACCCATCAAAAGTGTGCCAAGGATTGTGTACAATATAACCTTGTAGTATTGCATTATTATTTTTTTAATATCAGTACATTATTACATAGTATGTTAAGTGATTGCACATATTCAAAATGTTCATGCAAAACTGTTGTTCTTAATTTACTTTTTTATGCTACATATGAGAAAAAGAGTTGTGCAAGAATATACATGCCTTCAAAAAAAGGCATCATGAACAGGGATTGTTCATAATGCACAGGGTGTTTTTTTAGTAGGTGTTTAAGATCAGTGTGAACCTAGAATTGAGTAACAAATATACTGAAATCAAATTTGTACTTTCTAAAATCTTATAATTCTCAGTCATTTAATAGAATGCAAACCAATCTTGCATATGTTTCACGTTTACATGACTTTATTCAGAAGAATATCAAAATGAATTAAGCTGTTACTGTAACTGTGAGATTGCTTTATCAGTTTAATATTGAGTGGTGTCCATCCCTCCTTTTTTAATTACTTTTTATTTGTGATTTTTGACCTTAAAGAACACATTTAGTTAATATAAGCAAACAGTCATATCTACTAAAAATCATACACCAACTCTTATTTCCAGTTCAGTGTCCCAACATGCCGTATTTCGTCATGTAATTCCCCCCCCTCAGCTTTTTAATGCCATGTTCTGAATTTTTTTTTTAATGTTCACAGAATTTTTCCTATCCTCAGTGTGTTCAGAGAATGAGCTTCTCTAAATTTTAGAATATATTCGTTCACATAATGTTTGTTTTCATCATACAAAGATAAACTCTCACAGACTACCTGCAAAGATCATGCTGAACCTTTCCCTTCTAACTGCTGAACTTTTACAAGAACCAATCAATCATAGCAAAGAAAACATGAATTGGCATTCAGTCTACAGTTTAGCTGAGTCAGCTGCATACTCATCTTCTCTAATTATTTATCCATGATTTGAGGCATTCATCTCCCCTAAAGCCATCCCAGATGGTATGGTAGTTAATAGAGGCAAACAACATGCCATTGCCTGAAAAATTCAATTCTGTAGTGAGGTATGGATGTTTATCAATATGGTAACTTTATAAAATGAGAGTAATTAAAATTTGTTTATCCAAAAGTTTTCTGAAGAAGTTATCAACCGAGTAAAATGGATATGGGATCCCTGGATTTCATTCCTTTGAGTTGTCTTGATCAAAGCTCAAATGAAGTTTATGTAAATAGGTCCATGTGTTTTGTATAAATTATTATAAATGTATTGTCTCTTCTAGTGTCACTTTCTTGGTAGCAGTTCCTTTATACTAGCTTATAGGAATACAGTATCTAGTATATATTACTTAGAAAAGATATACTGATCAACTGTTTTATGTTATTCAGTAAGGTTTCCTGGTAATGGTAGAATGTAATTTTAAGCAGTTATGACTGTTTGCTTATATTGACTGAATGTAAAAGAAAAGTTGAAATCTATATAGCTTTAACCCATATGTTGTTTAAGGATTGACTCTATTGTTTTTTGCCACAATGAAACAATCACTGATAAATTTGGCTAAAAAGTATCTTGTTCACAAATCAAGCACTTTTCCTAGTAAAGTTTTTTGCATGTATTTCAAATTAAAGATTCTTTGTATATTTTAGAAAAGTTTGATGTGGATTTCTTTCAGTAGTATCAAGTATTAAAGAGCACAAATTTTATATCTTTATCTATAACGTGGCACAGGATTTGCTCCTGTTGGAAAAAATCCCACATCAAATTGTCCCTTGAAATGTGTAGAACTTTTTAATTGAAATAAGTGCCAGTGAAATGTTGAATTTCATACCAAAGTAAGCAAGTATTCAAAAAACATCTACACAGGACACTCAAACTGCTTCTTGATGAGTTTTTTTTTTTTTTTTTTTTTTTTTTTTTTTCCATTTAGATATATAAAGATAAGGTACTATAACTTTCTAGGTCATCTTATTATAATCATCTGACCATATGTATGCTTTAAAAGTGATCTGCAATCATATCAAAACAATGGTTGTCTATATGCCAAAAGATGCACCATATTAACCCAAAAAGTTATATTTTTATTCTTAAGAGATATTTTGTTTATACTTATGCTATATTCTTATCACTTTGTTTATGCATTTAAGAATATAAACCACCACTGCAGTTGTATTTTCATTATTTATGTTCTTAAAAAGATTGTGCTGTGTGAATTAAATATCATGTAAGGCATTTTTTAAATTAAAAAATACAGAAAATATGAATTATTTATAGTTTTTTAAAGGGTTTCCATGTTTTCTATCTCTGTATTTCTAATTTTGTTAATAAAAGTTTGTTCAATATTTATTTTGATGAATTCATAAATTATGTATTTAAAGAAGCAGTGATTCAGCTACAATCTGAATTTGAAAATTATTTTTTAGAGAATCCATTTTGTCTGTTTTATGTGTTTAAATATTTTTAAGCATAAAAAAGCACCTGTATGTATTAGAAATGAGATTTGCTTTTCCTGCATGAGTTTGGGAGCTGTGAATTCCAAATTTAAAGTTTTGCGGAATGTTCTTTGTTTTTATATTGGTATTTCTTAGGAGAGCTTTTATCTATAAACTCTATTTAAAAGTCTGTGAGGCTTGTATCTATTACTCGATCTTGCAGATTTATGAAAGACCTGGGATTAACAAAGAAAGACATCATATATAGAGCTTTTTATTTACATATTTTTGTGAAGGATGTTTTCCTGGAATTTACCAAGTTGTTTGTAGCTATTCAGGTTATTAACAACTATTTAGTGTTTAGGTTGTGGTGTTTTTAAGAAAGAATTTTCATTGATTTGTATTCAGTGAATTTTTTTCAAAGACAATATTGGTAGTGGGATAAGAAGATAAATCCCTGAAAATATCCACATATTATTGCAGATTAGTCTTTATTTCTGCATGTGAAATTTAGCACTTTGGTTATGTGATTCTGCATTGTTTAATGATTATTAGTATTTTTTAAATAACCTTAATAGAAAGAAAGAGAGAAAAGATATGCATGAAGTTACATAGAGTGGACCAGAGCTTCCCTGTGCTCCACTTATTCTGATTAATTGTGCTTATCATTTTTGAAGTTTTTTAATAGATTTTTAATTTTATGTTGCATTAAACAGAATATAGTATAGCATAATATTTTTTTAGGAGAATGTGAAAGATATGGGAATTTTCATATAAAGTTTGGCAAATATGTAGCCTGTATACATTAAGGGAAAGCTATTATGTATTCTATAAAGGCATGATCCTTTGGGCCCAAAAGCGCATTTTCTGATGCACAGTTTGCTTCCTCAGGGCAAATTTATGCTTGGGAATGACTGATAATGCACAAAAGCATATATTTCCAAAATGTGACTTCAGCCTTTAATTGTACAGACATATTGATTCCAGAGTTATGAATATCATATTTTCTCCATGGCATATATTATTTATCAGGAAGTGTTTTATATCTTAAAATTTCATTTTTATAAATTGTTAATTTTATATTTGAAAAGTACTTGCAAAAATATTTGGGAGGCGGGCTTATGTGTGTGTATGTGTGTAGGGCATAACTGTACCAAATGTACATAGATTTTTAACCCTATGATTTAACAGCTAACTCGTAAAAATTATTTCTTTATAAAAGTTAGTGTTAATGGTTTTGTAAATGGATTGTAGGTAAATTTACTAGCATAAAAGTTGGAAGTGAATGTGATCTTTGCTACTGCATGTTTTAATAGTACTTTATCAGCGTAATGTTCCTATTTATGAATAATCACCAGTCTGTTTTCCTTTGAATTGAGGCAGTCTTTATTTTATGGTATTCTTTGTGAAATATATTGATTTATATATGTTAATCAAAAATATGCACTCCCAAAAAAATTCATCTCATATGTTGCACTTTATAGTAAGGGAAGTTTTCTAATATTAATTAGTACTAAAAGTTGTCCCTTTGTATTGGAAGGAAATTATAATTATTATTGCCATTCTGAAAATCCAAGATCTTTAGCTTTATTGCATTTCTTCTTTTGTGATATGAACAAGTGCTTAGGTTAGAGTTATATTGCAAAATTGTGTAATAATCGTTTGTTTAAGGTTCCACTGGTAGTTTGTTTTTCAGATTTTTGTTAATCAATGGAGAAGTTATTTTACTAAAAATTTGAAGAGAATAATAAATGAAATTGTTAAACTTTTAAGACTGTTTGAAAAGTAAATGTGGGCATACGTAAAATGGTTCGTTGAGGTACTAGGTTGCTTATGGCATTAGGGAATCCTCAAGATGTAGTTTAAAATGCAATGAGGAAGCCATTTTATTCATTAAAAAAGCATTTAATTATCATTAATTTGATTATCAGCTAGTATTAATACTAATCATTAAGAGTTATAATACCATCCTAACAGTATAGCTTTGCTTTAAGCAAGACTTTTTTCAAATTTGTTATATAGTACTACACACTACACTTTAAATTTCCTGTGCTTCAATTATTTTGATTGATTACACTTATCCCTTGTTAAATTTGTTAAAAAGTTAAATTTGCTTATAGGTTTTTTATTTTAGTACAGCATAATACTTATTTTTTAAAAAGCTGTTAAATTAATTTAGATGAATTTGCAAGATATATGAATTGTCAGACAATGTTTGGTAAATATGTAGGCTATATGCATTAAGGGAAAAACTGTTATGTATTGTATAAAAATTTGATTTTTTTTTTATTTTTCTTTATGAGTCATTGCTTCTGCTCTGTTTCTCTTCCTAAATTAAGCAAACATGTGTATCTGTTCTTTCACCATGCAAGTAGTTTTTGCATTTCATTTTGCAGTATAAACTCTATCAGCCTTTTAAAGTATGTGGTTAAGGGTTTTCACCGAGTTCCTTATCTCTGAACTACTTGATATGAAATATATATGTGTATCTATTTTTTTCATTTAGTAAATAAGATATCAAGAAAGACTGTATTTGATAAATATACTAATTATTTTAAATATGTTTGGATTACCAAAAATAAAAGGACAGGCAACTATCTAGACTTTATCAGATCAGCTAATCTGTGCACATCAGCATCTATATATATATATTAATATACGAGTTTTGCTGTATGTTTTTATTTCCGAATGCTTCAGTTTCTTTAAATTTTAATATGCAGCTAGTCATTCCTCTCCTCTTTCTTTTATTTAGTCGTATTCTTTAGCAGATCAGTTTCATATGTTCATTTCATTTGGTAACATATTAAAATACGATATTAAAATAAATAAATATATACGTATTTTTCTGCTCAAGTGCAGTAAAATTTCTTAATTTGTATGTGCTTGCAACTTTTCCTCTAAGCTATATACAAACTCGGTCATGCTCTGATTTTTATGAGTTGCAGAAGTATTTATACTTCACAAACGTGGAATCCGTCACACATAAATGCACCAAAAAAAAAAAAAAAAGAAAAAGAAAGAAAAGAAGAAGAAAAGAAAAAAAGATCCATATAAGTATTGTGCAGCTGCAAAAAAAATTAGAGTGAATGATGTTTGCTGCAGTTTTTAAATTAAGAATTTTTAAAAAACCTTTTGTTGTGAAATGTTTAATTTTCCTTTCTTGAAAGTATTTTCATACAACAGGATAACTAATTTATTTGTAATAAATTTCAGTAAAAGCAGTTCTCAGTTGTACAGCTGTAAAATAAAGCCCTTATTGTAATTTTAACAGTTTGAAAATGTGGTGTAATTTTTATAGAGCTGTTCTTAGTATTTTGAGAATTTAGATTTTTTTTAAACCATATGTTCAAGACTTACATGCAAATAATTAAGTCCCCCTGAATTAAATTTATGGTAATTCACCATTGATATTTTTTGCCGTTAGAAAGAAAATAGTAATTTGAACTTTACATATTAATGTAGCATGAAAATAATTATAAAACACTGAGATGCTGCTTTTAATTAAAAATAATTTTACCTCCTTTATCACTCTGTAAGAATGGCATTGATAATCTAGATTTATTTTATGCTTGTTTTTTTTTTTTTTTACGTTCTCCCTGGCGGCCAAAAATATTAATTTTATACTAACTACATAAAAACTGCATACCAAATTGAATTTTAGAAATTCACATATAAAATTTAAGAGGGGAAAAACTGTCCTAAAGGATTTTTTTTTAGTATTTGTATACAAACATTCGTTTTTGAGTATGAGTTGTAAAAATATTAATAATTATTTCTATTTTTAGAATTAGAATTTTTTCACTCTTAAAAAGTTAATAGTTAGATTTCAAATTTTTAGATTGTAGCTTATTTATTTTAAACATATTGGAGAAGAATGAACATTGGAAAAATATTATGTTATATTCTTATGTGTGTATATTTGTAAAATCGGTTTTGAGCAAATTTTCTAAACTATCGATATATTAAATAATATTTGTATGTGAATAGAAATTCTTACTTTTTGTTATTATGTGAGAATAAAGGTTAATTCTGTATTATATGGAAAAAAAATTTTTGTGTGTATGAAATCAAAAAATAATGATAATAAATAGTTATCCCAAGGATTTGTTTTAAAGAAGCTTATTTTAGTCAAATTGTGTGTGTATGTTTTCTAAAAAATAATTTTGAAAAATAAAGAATTAATATTTGCATGTTTAGGATTGTTTATTCAAGATTGTTCATAAGTTGCTTGTTTTCTACAATTTAATTTTAATCATTGTGTTCTACTTACAAGGGATGAATTCCACAATTTATTACAGTATAATAATATTTTGTTAATAAAATGGAATTTCTTAATTTACTGAAATAGTAGCTTCGGATAGGTATTTGCATATTATTACATTGACCGGGAAAGTTTATGGAGATCCCGCGAAAAATTGTACCAGTAATTCCTACAAAGTTCTGAAGGAACTAACACCTCTTTATTTAATAAATAATCAGTACCCGCTTTGTTATTTCATTTGGTAATAAGGCTTTCGATGGTTTCTACCCTTTCGTTAGGCTCTCGGATTTTTATCAGAAGTTCTGTTTGGAACACTACGAGTTCAGATTTCCAGCAGATAAATGTTTCAGTCTATTGCTTTTTTGTCAGTCATATTCAGCTAAACATACGTATCATGTCCATTAATGCACACTTCCAACAGATTAGTGTTTTGCTGTATTGCTGTTTTGTCGATCATATTCAGCTGACCATATCGTGTCCATTAATGCATGGTAAGATCCCATAACTTTAAAAATAATCCACTGGTGTGTTGAAGGTAGATCCAAAATCCTCATGATCTGTTTTCAAGTGAGGGAAAAATATGGCAATAACAGTTAATTTTTATCATTTTTATAAAAACAGAAAGTGGTTTATTGAGAATCGGTTGGGTTACATCAAAAGAAAAGGCAAATATTATCAGTGTATTATTATGTCATGTTTATCCATAATTGGTACTGAATAGCACTGCTTGATAATAGTTTCACAGCTGACAGGATAATATGTAAGTATCTTCAGAACTGGAAAAAAAAAAAAAAAGTTCTAAATCATAGGACTATGAATAAAAGAAATAAATGCTTAAGTATAACATTTACTTTTTGTGATAGAAGAAAGTAATTCAGAGGTATTTAATTGATTTGTACCTGTGTATTGTGTACTTGCACATTTGTATCCTCAAGTTAAATTTATTTCTAGCACTATAATTAGTTTTTCTGATTTTGTTTTTGCTTGAAAAATGTTTTAATAGTGTCTGTTCAGTTTCTATCAGATTATATTTTGAATGTAAAAAGTGTAAATAATAGTTGCTTTGAATAAAGAAATGTCCCAAAAATAGTTACTGTCTGTTTATAAATACCGAAAGAATTTTAAAAACGAAAGAAGAAATTTTATTCAGATAGTATTCTCAGAAAAGTTTGAAATATTATACTACAAATTTTTGATGAGAGCATATTGTATAACCAAATAGTTTCTGCTTTATTTAAATATAAACAAGTAACATAAAAAAAAATTTCTTCAAGTCAATTCATGCTTAAGTCAACAAAGAAAAATTTTATTTTAGTTACTTTTTATAAACATTTTTTCGTTTATCATTGGCAGCTATGGAATAAGTAGGAATTGACTAATATGTGAAAAAACTGTATTAACATCAAGTGTCTTCCACTACAAGTTTAAAAAAATGTATTTGAACTTGAGTGGATGAATAAAAATAATTTTGTTAGCAATTGAAAATTTGAACAAGATATAGGGAGAGTGTTAGCTAATAGTAGGAATTTTAAAATATAAAACTTATTTTTGTATTCTGAAGTTAACTATTTGAACTTCCTCAAAGTTTTCCCAAATGATGCATTCTAGTTTCTAGGGAAAGCGCATGTAATAGATTTGTTAACAAATTTTCAGTGTGATCATATTACAATATTAAAAAATGAAATTTTAAACTCTAATCTACAAAAATCCAAAACTTCATGTACAAGACAGTGATGTCACAGGTGAGCGACAGAATTATAGCTCAGATGTTTAATTTGGTTTACTCTTGTAATTTAATGTTTTTCTTCAAAAAATCTTATCAAAGTTCCCTCGTTTCTTTTTTTTTTTTTTTTTTTTTTTTTTATGTTTAAATAGTTTATTTTTTATGTACTTTATGAGTGGGTGATTTTGTTTTACAAATGTATTTATTTGCAGTTTTTTTAATATGCAAATCTGTATAATAATTGCAAATTTTTAATATGCAAATCTGTATAAATGTTGAATAAATAATTTGAGTAAGAATGTAGGTTATAATAGGAGTGAGTTGTAAAGAAAGTGAGGAAATTTTTTGATTTTCACTCTTGTTAAAGAAATTTCGAACAGGATTTTATTTATACAAAAGCATATAATACATATAATTTTAAGAGAAAATTTTGTATTATTTAGTATGCCATTATGCCGTTAAATATTAATTTTCCAATTTTGGGAATTTCTGATATAACATACACTGACTTCCAAAAGTTAAGTACAGAATGCAAAATAGCAACTAATGAAAGCATATTTGAATTTTAGTGGCTGAAAGTTGCTGTGGATGCAAATAGTAGTATACAAATGTCGTATGTTACAGCCAGTCATGATTGACTGTCCGAACATATGCCAAATATGCAGTTGTTGAAGATGGCAGCATTCCAAAAGATTTAAAGAGGTTCATTTAAATACTGATGCAAAGTGTTTAATAACTTTTGATGATATTAGTGTTTCTGTGGTTAAAAGAAGATGAATGGCAGATGGTGAGGGCTGTCAAATACATCAGTGCAAGACCGTTAATCAAAGATGTGGCTCCTCTTTTGTGATGAACATTCTGTAATTTCTGAATGTAGAAATAATTCCAAAAAGTCAAGTTGTTGTCCGGAAACCTGTGCACGGTCGACCAAGAGTTATCACTCTTTCTGAAGATTAGTATATTGCTATATTAACCAAGCAAAATCGAAGAGCTATTTCCACTCTGCTGTATTCATGGTTGCAGCATCATTTGGTAAAATGATATGTGATTAAATTATATTATCTGAATAAAATAATATGTTCCAGTACTGCGTACTGAAAGCCTTCATATGAAGAGACTGTACGCCCGTGTACCAGGAGTTTGTATTCCACTAATTGCCATATCCAGAAGTGCAAAATTAAAGTGATGTCATCAACATGTCAGTTGAACTGTCTCAGATTGGTACAATATCCTGTTCAGGGATGAGTCTATATTAGTCCAGGAATCAGATGGTAAGCATGTAAGGGTCTGGATAGTATGAGGCAAATGAATTTAGGCCTAGAACATCACGCATTCGGAGATGGCAGCATCATAGTATGAGGTGGAATTTTAATTGGTATTGTACCCTTTTGCATAATTTTAAAGCTGGTTCTGTGATGGGTGGACCATGTCAGGATGAGGTCTTACTCTGCATTGCAAAACTGTACACTGTAGCTGCTGGTGTTAATTTCTTCCTTAAAGATGAAATGCCAATCCCCATCTAAACAATATCTTTAATTGAGACCTGGAGAGTGAAGGTATTTCTCGTAGAGTTGGCCACCATAATCCTCTTAATCCCACTAAAAATCTTCCCATTTCCTTTTTCCAGGCAGTCTCAGACAGTTGGAAATTGCTCTAATCGAGGAATGGCCATTGCTAGCATCTTTGACAATTGATCATATCATTGAAAGTATAAGCAATTACTGTAAAGTTTTTGTGCAGGTCCAGGGTGGTCACAATACCTTATTAATGTGAGTTTTGTTTGTTTTTAGCTTTATACATAAATTTGTTAACGACCCAAATGTGACAGCATCATATAATTTACAAAAAATTAATATTCTATCGTCTTTGTACATAATGCTTGTTTTCTTTCGTGCATAAACATATTTGATATTGTCATTCAATTTAGTATTAATCAAAATTCCTCCCTTTCCCATATTTGTCGAATCTGTTGCAGGATACCTTTTGAAAGCCAGTTTGCATTACAAAAAAGTAATAACTCGGTTGCATTATTAGTGTAGTGAAATGCTCATATCACATTCAAAAGCTTCTTCGTCTCTTATAAATAAATCAAAAGAATAATTAAATCTCAGCTTGACATGAAATAATTTGAAGAAATGAATAAAAAGTGTGTAATTTTTTTTTTTTTTTAAGCTAATTTCTTTGAATTGAAGAACATTCCAAACTAAATAAGTAGCATCTTTCAAATGTAGCTTCAGAACAACAAACACTTTGTTTTAATAGCCAAACGGTAGATTTTTCGTGAATCAAATAGAAGCAGAAAAAGTTTCCTATTTTTGCTAATAACAAACAAAAGTCTAAAGGAAGCTCCCAATATATTTATCAGAAGCATTATCGATATTTATCAACAGTTTAATATTTTCCATCTATCCTACGTGCAAATATAATTCAAGAAGACAAAGCAATCCTTGTCTTAACTGTGTGACTTGCACAATTAAGGCAACTACCACAGTAAAAGTCATCAAATTTTAAAATCTGTGTAACTGTAGAAACCATACACATAACAGTTCAGTTTTAAAAAGCAGTGTCACCATTTCCACATGCACTCTTTTTGTCATACTAGAAGTTCCAATGATTTTTGTAGAGAACTCATGATATTTTTTGGCTTTAACTAAAGTTTAAAATATGTGCTTGTAGAATCTTCTGCAGTGAAAGAAATTGCTGCATTTAATATGTAAAACCACTAGAAAAAGAATTGCTTTGAATCTATTCTTAAAGCAATTGCGGTGAATTTCTACGAGAACAAAATCACTTGAAAATATCCTTTTGATTGATTTGTAGGATAAAAATTTAATTAAAATATAATATATGTATATATAATTTATTAGTAGAAAAGTTGTTTTATGTATTTCATCTCCGTCATATCTGTGTGAGATGATTTATTTAGCAGTTGTCGATAGCTTGATATTAGATGACAGCTTGACTAGGGAAGGCACCAATTCGATTTTTCATCGTGGCCGAAAAAACTGTTGCGTAGGTGACTAGAATTCTTACAAACACAACTCGATTGATAGTTAAAATATCATTTTAGTTACATCTTAAACAATGGAAGGCATTGGAGAGCAGCGAATTGGGGTTTAGGTAGGTGACAGCAAGCGAGAAAGTAAAGTGACTTGAATTGACTTGACAATATGTTGAATGGAATAACGGGAGTGAAGCTCCCTTTGCTCCGTATGTGTTAAAAATTCATCAGTTAGATAGAAAGAATGCATTTGAGGGAAACTTCAGAGCAGGTGAGAAAATTCGCTAAGGAGGTGTGCTTTAAATTTTGTGATATTCAAGCAGAGGAATTGCTGGAGAAGAAACTTGAAACGGATTAGAGATATGGACCCGAAGTCTGCAAAAGCAGAAGAGATGGAAAAGAGAATTAAGTGCAGGATAAAAGTATTTTTTCAGTGGAAAGGGACTGTGTTTTTCATCGGAGATAATTGGATTTTGATGTTGTTTGACTGAAATATAGATCTTAATGGCGTTGTTTCTATTGTAGTCATTGATATATTGTATTTTAAGGTCATAGTGGATGACAGAGTTCCTGATGTACTAAGGGGCGTTAACGATCATTCGGAGAGTCTTGTTTTAAAGAATCTGTAGCTGGCGAAGATTGAATATAGCAACTTAGCCTTGCTGTGTCATCAACAGGAGAGAACATATTGCAAATAGCATAGTTAAATTTTTCATGAACTTTCTTGAAATGATTTTTGAAGATGAGTTTGCGGTCGAGATTTACAAGATAGGTAGTGTTGCTATTCCATTTTATTTCTTCGTCACAGAGGAGGAGGGCTTCAAGAGTTCTATTGGAATTTCCTTTTCGGAAGATAATTGCGGCAGATTTTTGTGCGCTGACAGCAGTGCGCTATTTGGTATACCAGTCTTCAAGAGTAAGAAAGCAGCTTTGAGAAGAGTTCTATCATATTTGAAGTTGGCTGCTTGAATCAAGATATCTGCGATGATCTCAGCATCATCGCAGAAAGAACGAGCTGAATCCTGGGATCGTGAGGGATGTTATGAGTATAGAGACAAAAGGATGAATCCAAGTATACTTCCCTGTTCAATACTCGGAAATTGTTTGAGTTCTGAGTAGAGATTGGGCGAAAGTTTTCACAATGCAGTGAAATGATGACTTAAAGTGGTGTAACATGCATTTTTGAAGAGGAGGTGTACTTAATTAAAATTAAAAATATAAAGGTCTATGTCCGAATTTGTCTTTCCTATTTTATATTTTACGTATATATAATTGCTTTGCAAAAACATGTATTTCATTTTAAATATAAGGTGCGTTTGTAAAGTCACCGTACAAATTAAAAGATAAAATAAAAAATTGAAAG